TCAAGATATCCCCTGGACTGCAAGGAAGGGGAGGCATGACTGCTGCCCTGCAGTAAGGGGTGGGAAGATAAAAGATACAATGTTGCCTATATAGTGGGATATAAGAGGGAGATCAAGGGGGTGGGACTCACCAGTGCAGAAGGAGCAGTCTGGAACAGTTTCCCGCCCGCCCTCCCCCAAAATAATTTCCCATGCTATGTGATGGTTTGGTTTGTGGTGTTGTTTGTTTCTGTTCTTGTTTTGTCACAGCTATGGCGGAGTTCCTGGCCAGCGCACGTAATGCACGGAAAGGATTTGGGGAGTCGCAGCCTGCTAGGGCTGATGGCCGAAGGCAGGCTGTACGAACTCTGGATAAAGACTTGGAGTATCTGTCTGTTGGGTAGTCACCCCAACAGCTGACAGGTGGAAATCCTGGTTGTGTAAAAGTTTAATAAAGCTGTGGCCGTTGCCCTTACCCAACAATCAGGTGTCATGTCGTTATTGGGGGTAACGGTTTTGGGTATTTGGGGTCAGCAGTCATGCACCTTGGCTGATTTGCTTCAAATTATTCAATTTCCTTGTGATTATTACACAAGTTTAGAGAATAATCCTGCCAGTGCAGGAGTGCTCATTCACACTCCTTTGTTGGATAAAAAATGCATTGGATTGGCTGAGATTATCTAAGGATTGGGAACTTCCTCTCAGAGACTGGAGCTGCTAGGAGAAAGGGTAAACAAGATACCTTTTTTTCCTCACAGCAGGTGGGGGTTGGGCACCTTCACTAAAGAGGGCACTATAATGAATGGAATACATGTTTGTCTTTCTAATGCTATAGTGTTCCTTTAAAATGATTAGTGATAATTTTTCCAACATGCGTAATGGTACTAAGAGTCAGAAGCCACACTTGGAGTTTGGGTGTTGATTTTCCATCCTACTGCAAGTTCCATGAGAACAGGTCTTGATTTTACTACCTTTCACACAGCAGTGTAGTTTACGTCTCGCTTAGCAATGCTATGTGCCGTTTTCGCAAGTTAGACTTGGCAATAAAAGGCTTGCAATGGACAGTATAAAATCTTCTCAAAAACAAAGGTTGGTTAAATATCATGAATAATAACCTTGGATCTGCATACATTTTAAATATCTTTTGAGTGTCAGCTTCGTTTTGGATATCAAATATCTTTCTCCAATGGCAATGGAGAAAGTTTCTCGATGGTTGTTTTTATTCTGCAATCCCCATTTGTATATTTTATATTATTTTGTGCCTAACTGGGTGATCATATATTATTTTGTGCCTAACCGGGAGAGCTGCAATATTATAAGCTAGTGCCATTTGCATCTCATTGTACCTTTTTATTGTTCGATAAATATATCTATCTATCTATCTATAATCGTCTTAACTCCATGCCACCATTAAGATGTGTCATTACGTCCTGAACAGCATGGGCTTTAAGAATGTTAAAAGACCACTATAGGCACCCAGACAACTTCAGCTTAATGAAGTGGTCTGGGTGCCAGGTCCAGCTAGGTTTAACCCTTTTTTTTATAAACATAGCAGTTTCAGAGAAACTGCTATGTTTATATTAGGGTTAATCCAGCCTCTAGTGGCTGTCTCATTGACAGCCGCTAGAGGGCTTCCGCGCTATTCACTGTGATTTTCACAGTGAGAAGACGCCAGCGTCCATAGGAAAGCATTGAGAATGCTTTCCTATGGACTGGCTGAATACGCGTGGCTCTTGCCGCGCATGCGCATTCAGCCGGTGATGGAAGAAGAGGGAGGAGAGCTCCCCGCCCAGCGCTGGAGAAAGAGGTAAATTTAACCCCTTCCTCTCCATCCAACCCGGCGGGCACCCTCAGGGCACTATAGTGCCAGGAAAACAAGTATGTTTTCCTGGCACTATAGTGGTCCTTTAAGAGTGATCAGACTGGGGTAACTGTCTTGCAACCCAGGCAGATCCCCAGCAGCCAATTGGTTGTGATCAGAGTCAGGTCATCATGGTGACAGCCTGTCACCGCAATCACTGTTTCAGTGTGACAGACAATGATTTTTATCGTGGACTGTGACATTGTATTTTGCCTCTCTCTTTCCTCACTTTGATGTGAGCCTAGAAAGGCAGAATTATCATTGCTGGCTGTCTTCCAGATTGTTAGTGTGTGTAAAAAAAACAAAGTGTTATTAACCCACTGCTGATCACAGTTCTAATACAGCGATGAGAGTAATCAGAACACTAGTGTGATAAGTACACTTTGATTTTCTTTGGGTCATATTTTATATTTTTTTGGTTAAAATCTGATCGTTTTAACCCTTTAACGTTTTTGTCAACCCCTTTCTGAGCTCTGATCACTGTATAGTGTCTCAGAGCATATTATCTTACCTACACTGACCTTTTTTTTTACCCTACTTTTGTTTAAAAAAACAAAAACAAACAAACAAAAAAAAACACCTTTTAGTGCTGGTCGCAGCTGTTTATTCTGCAATTAGTAATTAATTTCTCTTTTTGGGTTTAGGCTTCTGTGGGTGGAAGAGAAAATTGGGGGGTGGGTTGAGGGAGTGTGTGTTAGGCCGGAAGATAAAAAAAAATGATTTTACTTAAAAAGTCGCCATGTCTTGTTACTATACTGAGGAGGAGGTCAATGGTGAAGCCTGAGTCAGAGGAAACTGACTCCTTTGACCTGTCTGACAATGAGACACTTACTGCGTCGAATGTAGAGCCCCTAGGTGAGCCTTCTGGCTTCTGTTGCTCCCACCATCACACCATCCAGGAGGTGTTCAAAACACTGCACTGGTTTTGAACATCAATGGGTACCACCAAATCTAAGTACCCCTAAAATACTCCCATTTTTGGCAACCCATTGCATTACAACTAGAGTTGACAGCAGTGATCCTGAAAATTATTTTAGCCTTTTTATGACAGATGGCATATTTGAGCTTTTGGCTGCACAAACAAATTTGTTTGCCAGCCAATATCTTGCTGCCAATCTTGATTCTCACTATAGCAGGAAGAATATGTATCACAAGACTAACAACACTGACATGAGGAGGTATTGGGGTTGTGTAAAAACCCAGTATTAGGAGTTACTGGCATAAGCACACCATCCCAGCTACCCCTCTTTTTCCAGGGATAGGTATGAACAGCTTTTCTGTTTACTCCATCTCAGTGATAGCACCCAGTGTCCCCCTCTAAATGACACCAGTATGACCATCTACACAAAATTAGGTTCCTACTTGATCACTTGTCAAAAACATTTTCAGAAAATCACACCAATGACCAAAATATCTGCATAGACAAGACCCTTTTGAAGTTAGAGGGAAGACTGCTTTTTAAGCTGCACATTCCATCAAAGCCAATGTGTAACTCCACTAACAGATGAAGTGTATAACTGTGACATATTCCAAGCTTAGTACACAGGACGCATGTGTTGGGACTGCAAGCCAAAGACTAAGTATCTTGCCTGAAAATGCAATCTAATTCCTCAGCGGCAGAAACCATGACGAGTCCACTGCAAAGTCTATTGTGATCTGCTGAGTTTGGCTGGACTGAGTAGGAACCAACTGGCTCTAACCTGTTTCAGCTGCAATTGATGATAATGAGGCTTGAGCAAAACCATATTTAGGCTGACGGGTTTGCCATCAATGTTTAAGCAAAGGAAATGGTAATAGATTACAGAACTTACTTTCTATGTTTCAGAATTTTAACAGAAATACTAGACTTTTCCATTGGGTTCATATTCGTTTATTTTTAAAAATAGTTTTTTTTACCTTGGTATAATGTTTTATAACAATCAGCATCTCCTCATAGATACATAAAATCAATGCAAATCTATAGGGAATGTTCAGCATGTCCATGCAGAGCTTGGAGAGGCTTAATATAGGTGCTGCACATTATGCAGCGCTGACATAGGAGACACTTCAGCAGACGTTTAAGTGACTGCCGCTAGAGGTGTTACTAGTCAGCAATCTAAACACTGCCTTTTCTCTGGCTGGATGTTTCACTTCCTCCTTCCAATAGCTTTACTGACCTCACAGAATTTGCAAAAACATTCTAGTAAAGCCTCCTAAAATATTTTGTTTTGGTCCCTAATGCCCCATTAAAATTGAAAAGCATGTGCATCCATGTCATCGCACACAAAACCTAGGTACCCATTCTGTGGAGCATCTCCTCCAGGTCGCAGCTGGCAGCAACAGTTCAGGAGAGCTGTGCACTGTTAGATATGTCTCTCCATTCGTGCACATGCATTAACTATCAATTGTCCTGTTGGGACTATGATTTGAAAAGCCCCATACAACTGATAAAGTGATAGAGAAGCTGTGTTCAAATAAGCCACTAGCTCCATCTCAGCAATTCTACTATTTCACTAGATTCCGAATTTTAGAACATTTAAAAAAAAAAAAAAAAAAAACCTGTTGGTCTGGTTTAACATTTAGCTCTAATCACAACTTAGGCTAGTTTTGACTTTGACTAAAAACTGGGAATAGAATTTGTTGTACAGTGACTACCCAAGTGCAACACACCACATATAATGGGTTACAAATAAACAGTCATGTTAAAATGGAGCACATATTGAGAACTCAAGAGGGACCATCCCTCAAAAACTTTCGATGCTGACCAGTCCTAGAAGTTTTAGCTGCCTGAGCGTGATAGGCATTGAAATCATAGTCAGCTGCATTTCCAGCTGTGGACAAGCAATACTTATTAATTTTCACATTCTTTCCAAGCACACATTGCAGAAGTCACCAGGGCCCAACTCTCATGCCTGGCAAGGGGGGAAGGCTTGTTTTGAAGCGGGGAGCCTCTGGTTTTGTAATCAGCCATCCTTGGGAGCACCATCCAGCTGCAGCCAGTACTGAGCACATCACCATTCACTCCCTACATGGACTCAAACACGCTGCTTAAACACGCCCTCTCCACTCCTTCCCTCCCAGGGATGAGGTCATTGATTGGTCTGCTCTGGAGGCTTGGAATGTTCACCACCAGGGGCGTGTTAAAACCACGTTACCACGCCCCTTCTGTATAAATAGTACAGAAGCAGCTCTAATCACAGGAATTGTGCTGTCAGGCTGGGGAGAGATTGAGGTATTTACTAACACTGACTGAGGCATACCAATAGAGAGAGAGATATTTCATCATCACACAGAGAGTCTGTTACTGGAGGACACCCTGTCTGCATCATGCTTATGTGTGCTAATTTAGTGCTGCTCAGTCTGTTCCTGCTCTTCTCTGGGGAGTTCTCACAGACTGCAGAGGGCTGCACATGTGCCCCCAGCCATCCTCAGGAAGCATTCTGCAACTCTGACATTGGTAAGAAGATACCTTTTATTTGCATGCACAAAACCAATTATTGGTTCAACTGATCTGATGGGAGCATAGTGATGCCAGTCTCCTGGAGAAGTCCAGGGAAGCAAGTCAGTGGCTTCAGGTGATGTAAACAGTATTGCTAGGTTCCTCAGGAAAGGCACGGTAATGCCATAGTAATATTAAACTGTTGGTATGGGGCAGGTTAATGCCAGGCTTTGTATCAGTCTGCTGATGAAGCCTGTGCAGGTACCAAGGTGATGGTGTGGGATGTAGTCAGACTAAAGATGGGGGACACAGTTTCCAAATCTTTACTTATACTCCAAGTAATGCCAGGCTGGTGGCAGATTGCTTACAGTCTGTTGCTAAGATGCATAGTTGTGATGTGTGATTAGCAAGTTTCAGCACTTTTACAGAGAGAGACAAAGAGAGCGCTGATTAAAATATTAGAAGCGGTTTATAAACAAGACAGAGCTGTCTGGGGCACACTCTTGCAGTATGTTATCATTACTCCATCACCTTATTAGTGGCAGGATAGTGTGGGGCATACTTGTGCCATGCTGTTGCTCACTGGTAGTCGTAGAATGTTTAATACTGTAACGCGTAACAAGTTTGTTGCAGAATGTTTGTGCCATGATTCTGCGTGCTCTGTCACTGGATAGTGGATAAACCAGGTGGGAAAAATAGTTGCATATTAGTACCAGATTATTGGGTAGGGCTAAGCAAAGTGACATGTGGCAGGAAAAAGTTAAGCGAGATTATACACCATGTGTACAATTATGTATTCCAGAGCACAGCGTGATGTGTCTGCACAGTTGGTTATTATTTATTGTACCGAGCTTTTAATTAGACAACCTGGTAACAAGTATGGTTTGGGGAATGAGTCCGGAGCAGTCCTGTTTAAAGTTAATTTATGGAAATGAGTTGGTGCATACCCTCTCATTAGTGGGTGCATACCCAAACTATGCTTGGTAAGGAGGCATGAGATCACTACACGTTTACCAGTGCTTTCAAAAAATGTACCATGCATATTTATACACAGGAACTCCCTCAATTTCCTTAGCTCGGGGTGGAGGATAAACTCCACCTGCCAGATTGAGCTGGGACCTTTGGCTGTCCACGTTGAAGGCAGGAAAAAGTGAGATTTACAGTGGATTTGGATCATGAATGGAAGACAATAAATCGTACATTTTGGTGTAGGCTAAACAAGAAGCCCCTAGGAAGGTGCATTGAGATGATGAAGATGAGTAGAAATTGGCCCTTAAAGCAAAGGTTCCAATGTGGGACATACTGTATAAAGTTGAACTGTTGCAATGTGCCTTTTCTGTGCATGTTTTCCACCTATTGATCCTAACCTCTCATTATTACCTTTTTTGTCATAAATAGTCTTCACCTATCTTTCTTTAGATAGGCCAAGCAAATAATGCACTTTAAAAAAAAAAAATGTTTAAGCTTTTAAATGGTTAGACTAAAGCATAAAAGGACCGAGCAGATTTGACACCCATTATTGAATCCTCAGATAGGGGGTGTCACAATATTTCCTTTCAAGACTTCAGCAATATTTGATACTGGTCTAATAATACCACCCTCCATGGATTCCATGGTATATCATATAGACAGGAATATAGACATTATGTATGAGCATATCTGAACCAAGCATCACATAAAAGGTTACATATTTTTACTGCACCAGAAAATATCTGATTTAAAATAAATTAAACATTGGCCAACAAGGCAGCTCAATGTCTATGTGAAATCCCAGATTTTATTTGTATTTTCTATTTAGGGCATCAGTAAGTTTTCTATGCCTTATTCACTCTATATGTTTTCACTTCACTTTTGTCGGAAGATTCATCTCCTTTTTATATTAACAATTTTGTTGGCTTTCTTTAATTTTTATTTCTTCTGCTTCAGGTTGCATTTTCTGTCTACAGAAATTGTCATATTTTTTTTCTATTTCTTTAAATCCTTTCAGATATGTCTGTTTCTTTTATGTCATTAATATAATGAACAATGCTTGTTCAAATGACAAACAGTTGGGCAAGCCTGTGCACTCTCTGTTGAAGCACAATAACTTGGGTAATATACAGGTATCTCACTATTTGGCCTGGATATGCTGGTGTCAGTCCAGGACCCAATCTATGACACTCTCACTACAGGTGATGGACATGCTAAGAGCTACTAATTAGTGCAGCTCCTAAAGGGTTGATTAGCACTGATATCAGTTTAATACATATAAAGGCCACACTCTTGTAATTTTTGGTAGTAAACAACCATGGACATGAAGAGTTAAAAGAGCTGGTGGGATCCAGTCTTGTATCCTTAGGCTTTATTCGACAGTAGAGATGGGACTGACTCCAAAATTCTTTCTGCTTAAGGTAGAACTATGTAACAAGCTCCAGGGGGTGTATAAAGCCACTTTCCAATATCGTGGGGGAGTAAAGTATGGTATTCTAAAGGATTACTATCAATTCCACTATGAGGCATATTTACTAAGCAGTGAATTGAGATGAGTTAGCAAGTGAATTTTGGCTAAATATAGCAGAGTATAGGTTTTATCAATTTAAGTTTTCCTAATCTTAACAAAAGGGCTATATAGTATTAACCAAATAGAGTATTTATTAAAGATTAAAATAATTTTGTGTTTCTAATGAATTGCTGACACAGTTGCTATTTAATGGTTGAGAGGTAGGTGGGTCTTCCTAGACCAGTGTAGGCAACCTTCAGCACTCCAGATGTTGTGGACTATGTCTCCCATAATCCTCTTAAAGCCATAATGCTGGCAAAGCATCATGAGAGATGTAGTCCACAGCATGTGGGGTGCTGAAGGTTGCATACCCCTGTCCTAGACCATGGAGTAAAAGTAAAAATAAAAGTGGTGATAATGAGAATTTGCACTTTTATGCCATGGAGCAGTATAAAGTAATTGCAATGAAGGGTTAACTTTAGTTGTGGTTTTTAATAAACCCACAATGGGTTTCTGGCACTCCAGAGGAGGCAATATAACATTTCATCTGTGTAACCGAGAGAAGAACTGGCTTCCATCAAATTTATAGTCAACTATTTTGACATCTAAATGCAAACGGCAAAGCTTTTTTGCAAAACTTATATTCTGCTACGTGACAATATTATTTTACTTAAGTTCTGTCCCATAAGCAGTGGGTAAAACATATGCAGTGTCATATGCAGGGGGTAAACAAGTTTCCTTTTGCTTATTTTCTAAAGTTCTCTTGGTATATAACGTATTTCATTACCTGCAAAGAAATAAGATTTGGCAGGCAACACACACTGTGTATTGCAGGGCTTTTCTCATCCGAGTAAGCTGAGAGTCTGGTTTCATACTTTAGGAGTGATTTGCATCTTATTTTACTAGTAAATATGAGTTTGGCTTGCTTAGAAAATTGATACATTTGTTAATTGTTGGAGTATCGCTCACTTTCCTTTATATATGCAATCTGAATATAGATAAACTTTATATGACAGGTAAATGAGAACTATAGGAGCCCCTATACATTGTCTAGACTGCCTAGAATGCCAGACTGCATATCTCTGCATTGGTTGCTAAATGGCGTAGAATGATAAAGTTACAATGAGTGATAACTTTGACACTGTAGATGTTTTGGGCCTGCATTACCAATGACACATACACGAATACAAATGTTTCAGTGCTATAGTTTGCCATCAGTAAACTACAGTAAGGCATCCTGATTGACCTTCTGAATGCCAGGTGGAGTGCATAGTAAATCCCAACAAGATTCATGTTTGCTTGTCCACCTAGCACTGCATGGTTCCTGTATACTAAGAGCTGCTTGATGAGAACCCGCCTCGCACACTCCCCTGTTGAGCCCCTTCTTACTGGGGGTGGGGGTGTCATCTGGACTGTTCGTAGAAATAAATTTTTATTGGTGTGTGAGGGGCACTTGAAACAGAAAGCTATGTTTTTGTGAGGATGGGGAGGTTAGAAATAAACGTTTTAATATATATTGAAGAACACTGTTCACTGTTCTGTACTGTATTTGTATAAATCTAAAATAGTTAAATATTACCATTAACTGTTACTGTACCGCCACCTCTGAAATTTACCACAGAGTCTGAAAACAGTACTTTAGTTTACCATCTCCTCCCTATTCCTTCTAAATATTATTCTATGAAGCGGCACAAGGTACTAGAGATGGGAGATAGAAGGAAACCTACTTAATTCACACCAATTAGGAGCCACAAACTCCTGGGAATTGGTTCCGACACTATTATCGTCCAGACACATTTTCACACTACAAAATAACTGGAAAGGTTTCTATCAGTAGCTAAGTAAGAGACTTGCACACAAGGGTACCTCTTCCTCTCAAGCACATAATTGGTCTGGCAGCTGCTAATGACAGAGATACAAACCATGCAAAAAGGTGATGCAGGCTCTTTACCAGCTATTAAATGGCTGTCTAGGAGTGCTTGATATATACATTGCATATCAAACTGCTCCTGGCATGCAAAATGGGACACATGGCTTATTATAGAGCAAATTACTTTTTCTATATTGTGTTAGCCAAATAGCTAGCAAATATATGAACACATTATAATTAGATTTCTTTTTATATCTATGCTTCAAGCCTAGAGGTTTACACTAAAGCATGACCGCTGCAGGGAGTGTGAGTGATCCCTAATAGTGATCAAATCATACGACGATGTAGAAGGTGCTCAACATTATATATGTATATATTGACAGATTTTTTTTTTTTTTTAAATACAAAAAGTTTTATAAAGAATCTTTTACAGCTAAATTTGAAGATGTGGAATTTGATGGTCAAGGGAAAGAGCCCCTCCCTCCCACACACACACCTTTTTAATATGAACTTGTTTTGAATAATTCTTGGCCAACATCTGTTTTGTGAAAAACTATAAATACAGTTGCTCCTCCCACAAAAGGATGCTGATATGTAAAAGTTCAGATTCCAACTGCTATCCTTGCAAAAATATAAAACAATACCTTTCTGAGCATGAATTTCTGATTAAGTGTTGCAAAATTTTTAAGTCAGGGTTAATGTCTGAGCTCTGAATATCTCCTTTCCACTAAAATCTTTTTTTCCCAGTCTGTTTTTGTAAGGATCTGCTTGGGACTGTGAGTGCAGAATTGCTTGGCAATGTATTTTTGTTTTTGTACCACCAGCAAATTGAGTTCCCGCAGGTTCTCTGAAACACGAACCAACAAAACAGAAAAAAAAACCTTCCAGTTGTTGCCATCCCAACAAGCAAACCATAAAAGACTAGTGGGGGTAGAAAACTAAAAAGGCAAACACATTGTTTGCCTTAGTCACAAAAGTTCAGTAGAGTTTATTTACTAAACTCCAAATTGTAGCCAATTGGAATCCAAAGGGGATGATTTAGGCTAAATACATAAGCTGTAGATGAGTTGGATAACTTTCCAAATTGGTTATTTTAGTCTAAATTTTGTGTTTCAGATTTAAATGCAATTCTGAGATTAGTGAATGAACTCTAATGTGGCTACATTCGTACTAAACCCTTTTAATAGGGAGCGCCTAAATAGCAGTTCTCCAATGGATAAAAATTAACTATAAAAAGCAATTCTTTTTTGTTTTTTAGCTGTCAGCAATGCCAAACTGTGTTCACTTTGTTAACTGTGTATTTTCCAACTTAAAATAATTATGTCACAGAATCAGTTAAAAGACCCTGTAGTGTTTAAATCACTATTTAGTACCCCATGCCTCCCTAAATATAGTAAAATCTTATTTCCAGTGGCGCGAGAGTCCGCTGCCTTGGTTGACATCAGAAGAATGATGAATTCAGCCAATCACAATTCATTACAATAGGTGGTAATGCATGATTTGATTGGTCCATGAGGTTACCGAGATTATGCATCAGGATGAGCGGTAACTCGTTGTTTTGTAACTGTTCCCCTACCTTTTTACTCTTCAACAACCTATGTTAATTTATTGACTTGTACAGAGCTGTATGAAAACGTTGGACAAAAGGTCCAACCAGAAGAGACAATATTTAAAAAGTGACCACCGACAACATTAGACATTTTGTTGACAGTTATGTGTTGAATTTTTAGTCACTTCAACACCGCTGTTCTGTGATTGATTCTGTCTGGTGTACTCATAGGGAAGTTGCAAGATGTAGTATGTGAAACGTAGACATGTGAGAGAATGTCTCTTTTTGAAGCAGATACTGTATTCCACTTTTGTGTTCTTCACAAATATATGACCTTTGACTTCTCTATCATGTCACTGTCAGCTGGACCTTTCTGCCTGGGGTCACCGCTATCCTTAGTAATATCTGGCCATCCGTTTATCCTGTGGTATAGTGATTCTAAGCTATATTAAGCAATCAACCCTCTGTACCACAAAACATGTACAACTGGAACTTTGTAGACAGATCCCTTTCTATGGACAGGAGAAATGTTAAAGATTTTGCTGGCAGTAAACATAAGTATCTGGCAGTGAAATTATGAATGGTATAATACATATACACATTCTCAAGTACAAATATTGAATTGCACCGAAAACCCTCTTTAGTGCATATTATTGGAGCTACCAGTTGAAGCTCCTTTTTATTTTACATGTCCAGACTCTTTTGGTTGCATGATAACAGCCAAATTTATTGCTTAAAAACCTCCTCTTAACTGTATGGGAACTATAATTATGGCGACTACATACATATGTTTCAGGGGGCCAATGTGGCTCACAGTACTTTGTAGTGATCTCCTTCACACCCTCTGATTGCCCCGTCATCAGCTACAAATTCCCTTGTAAGAGTTCTCTGCCATAGGTAACTATTTTACATTTGATGTTTTAGTATGGGACCCTTACATGCAGATGCCTTTCATTTTTGCATAAATAGAAATTTGTGCATCCCACTCCCCTCTGGCATTAGTTAGCAATGATCACATTCAGAAAGGGTTATACTATTTTTCTACTCCCTCCTGCTTAACCACCAGAAAGTTAGACACTGGGTGCAGATTCATTGCAACCCTCAGAATTTGGATCCTAGGCGAGTAAGTATTATTTTTAAAAACTGTACTAATAGTTTTCCTGGTTATAAAACTAGGTTTATATCTGAAACCTAGACCGGTGTCTATTAAACATGGGAACAGGGACTTTTGAAAACCTGATGGATTTAATATGCAAAGCACAACTGATGCCAGCAGTTTTGGAAAAGCTGTACATATATATTATAGCAATGAAGAGGTTAACCCTGATGGTGTCAAAACTCCTCTTCCAAAAAATGAAAATCCTGAAATTCATTGATGCTCAGCGGAGTGTATCTGGGGCAAATAAGATATGCATTTGGCCTGCAGATAAAAGACACAATGTTAAATGGGCTGTCAGGAAATGAATAGAGTTGGTTAACTCACAGCATTGTGTGCATAAGATCTAAGAGCGCAGGTGAAAAGCTGAGGTGCCAGTATTCTAATCTTACAATTTGCCAAACTGTTCTGTCTGTGTAATGTGAGGAGCGCGGCTCACACCCTTTACTCAGGTCAAAGTACCGTGCACAATTCATTAATCATGTAGGCCTTTGAAAAGACCATCATTTCACTCTCCCAATACGGGATGGACTCTGGTCACAGCCAGCGGACATGGATAGATTTTGTGGTAATTCAAAAGCACAGACTAGGCATTCTTATCAGTCGAACACAGGACTGTGTCCTTCATAAAGTGCTCTGAGAACTCTGAGAACATTTACCCATTACAAATTGTCCACATTCACCGAATCTGAAAAAAAAACAAGGAGCAAGTCTATGAGACAAAGTGGACACATAGCCAGCCTGAAGCTCCCGAATACAGAACATGTGTCCATTATGAACTGTGTGGACATGTGCAGAAAGCTAAAATAAGGAAATAAAAAAGTTTAACGAATAAGAAATTACTTATTTGTACCTATTTTAAAAAATTCCATATTGATCCAACCCCATCATTAATCCTTTGGTAACCAGTAAACTAATGGCACCTACATAGTTCATGATGTTCCACAATCTGCTATATATTTAATGTGCATTCTCAGCTCTAAATATGTAAAAGTAAAAAAAGAAATGGGTTTACGATTTTATGTATCGTCCTATACTATATGTATGAGTTTATATATCGTACTATCATAAGTCTATGGTAATTGGTGGGATTTAATTGCATTTCTCAACAGTACTGATAAGGAATCCAATAAATAAAATGTTCACTTTCATAAATACTTATGTGTATTGCTTTGTTTCAACACTTTCTCCGTTGAATTATATCTATACTTTTCAGTTCTGTCAAAGCAGAGAGCAACAACAGTTGATAAAATATAAGCATACAGCACACCTGCAGTCCATCAGCGGTTCTGTCCATGCTGAGGATAATAAATTATAAACATTTCTGGAAAACAGGTTATAAGTCACTGAAAGGAAAATCTGAGTGAAGAAATCCAGCAACGACCAGTGAAATCGACTTTGCGGAAATTTGATATCCTAGAATTTAAAGGAATACCCCAATGTAATTTTTTTTAAAAAGCATGCATGCATTTATTGCTGCATTGTTTTATTGGGGTATATCTACAGTTTGCAAAAGCTGAAGATCTGCTCTCTTCTGCCATTGCAAGCCCTCCACTTTTCCCCGGATAGACTTTTTTGTGTCTGTCCAATGACATTTCCCAATGCAGCTCATTGATAATTCTTTACAAGGCAGACAGGCACTCTGGACAATTGTCTGCCACTTGAGTTTAGTTCCACTGAGCTAATCTAGCAGGAAGTCACAAAACTGGATGTCTGACAGTCGGGAGTGGGAGAGAGTTAAAAAATTTAATTTATACATTTGCCAATTTCTGTACCTTTTGTAAAATTAAACAAAGAAAACACTTCAGCAAGATAAGTACTTTAGGCGTATGGAGTGATCCTTTAAAGTTTGAATCAGGAGACTATGTTGATAAAAGGTGGCTACTTATTCTAGGAATCAAAAAGCTGTATTTATCAATTCACATAAATTTATTAGAATTGGTTAATATACTTCTTAAATGTTCTTTCCAAATATTTGTAATTTGGATCAAAAGATCAGTTTGCGAGTAAAGTTTTTTGCTGATAGATGAAAATATACATTTGATAGTAAGACTTGCAGAAGTTTGAAAACCCACAGCAAATTCAACAGAAAAATGCACATTACATTGTGAACTCCTTCAAATGGAACATTTGACATGCCACACTTGCTGCGTTTCCACATAGATGAACCCTTAATAAGTCAGTCAGATAAATAAGACGAGAAATCTATATGGTGGTTTTAGGAGCTGCAAGATTTCCAGATGTCAAAAATGCATGATTTACCAGAAGAAATAGCTTTTAGCAGTTGAATTTTAAAGGACCACTATAGGCACCCACACCACTTCAGCTCAATGAAGTGGTCTGGGTGCCAGGTCCATCTAGGGTTAACCCTGCAGCTGAAAACATAGCAGTTTCAGAGAAACTGCTATGTTTATATTAGGGTTAATCCAGCCTCTAGTGGCTGTCTCACTGAAAGCCGCTAGAGGCGCTTCCCACTGTGAAAATCACAGTGAGAAGACGCTGCTGTCCATAGGAAAGCATTGAGAAAGCCTGGCGGGAGTGGGATCCTGAGGGTGGGGGGTCCTAAAGACCCTATAGAGCCAGGAAAACTAGTTACACCAAAAGGGCAAATACTTACTCCATTTTTAAATACTTGCACACATTTCTTGCTGCCTTGATAGGAATAGAAAGATTTTTGAGATCAATTCTTTTTGTCCTTTTTTTATCTTATTGTCCTAATTTATAGGTGCTGTCTATATTGTTGGTGTGCCTGAGTGTAAGAGATCCACAGCAATAATACTTCCAGTAATGATTCTTTAAACCACAATATGTTCCCAGAAATTAATCTGTGTATATACAATAGAAAATTCTTGTTATAAATTACTTTTTAAATGAATAAATTGCTATTAGTAAGTCACCTAAAATTTCCCTAAAAAGTCTTGCCCTTGGTGACTACCAAAAAATGTAAATGTCTCTTTGTCCATTTGAATTTGCCAATCTGAACAGTTGACCTGTATGCACTAGGATAGAGGTGAAAAATAGATCCACACTGCAGTTCCTATCTTGCTTTACCAGCTGCAAGGATGGCAAAGTATCGAGGGAGTTGTATCTCTGCAACTGCAGTAGGCAGTTAAAAAGCAGTTCCCATTATAGATTAGCAGTTTGTTTTGTTTTAAATGGTTTTTATTGTTTTTGCAGTAAAAAACGCATGCATAGTGTGAGAAGCAGAATTCAATAGAGTGTTGCCTGCGCAGAGGCTCAGTGTTGCATAAAAACATAGTTGTATGTGTGCCTGCGCAGAGGCTGATTTAAAGTGTGAGCAGGCTTATTGCGGATTCCTAGGAATAACATTTGGTTGCCTGCGCAGAGGCATAGATTAGCAGTTTGGCCAACAATAGCCTAGTCAGAATTTATATAATTATAATTCAGTAGTCACATTAGGAAGTTTCAAACCACATGGAAACATCTTGTACTCAGATGCCTTTAATCAAAAGGAAGTTCCTCAAATGGAGTTATTTTTTAAACTATATCATAGTTTAACAGTCATTGATGTCACTATAAACAACATGGGTTTCCTCTGTGACCAATTTAGCTCAAAAGGCACCGTTTCTTAACATTTTAAAACCACAAAAGATGGTAAACAATAGAATCGCATTTAATTTAGGGTAAGCTTTTCAAATAACATTTGATACTTAACATATTTTTTGGTGGCATGCTGCATAATTCATAGCACAAACAAGTAATATTATTCACAGACTGAGAGTATCTCCCCAGTAATACCTCTTGCACCTGCTTGCAAACGTCATACCTGATTTTTAGCTGTATTATTCAAAACAAAACCTGTGCCAAACTATGCTGAGTACATGTGAAGTCACACCAGAACACGGGTCTAGATTCACTGTTATATGGACAAAATGGTCGTGTTTGTTTTTATGAACACCCTGTTGATGGGTTCCTTTAGGCAGTTGCCTGATCGCAAGTATAGATGTACCAGCCATCCGTTAAATATTTAGCCTGTACATGTGCCAACATCATTCTCTCTGTAAGAAGTCTATGGCATGGAAGTTGACTGATAATCGAAATAGCTTCTGCCTCTGTTAACCTAGCAAGAAAAAAAATCTGCATGCTTTTCATGAGCTGCTAGCTAGCATAGAACTCTTCACGTTTTGTCTGACCCCTATCCAGTCTTTATAAAAAAAAAAAAAAAAACAGTTTGAAAAGAAGCAAACACAGCCCACTTGAAAGGCCCATGGAAGTCCTCTTCTTTTTGTCATTGAATAAGATGCTTGTTCGAGTGCAGGAATGTGGAGCTCTTACTGTAATATCTTACTTAAGAATGTAGCATACCAGCACCGGAATCTACTTAGCTGAGGAATTCTGCCCTTGGGAGAGCTTTAAAGAGGCTTTGGTCACTGGAAGCTGTTGATTTAACCTTGCTCAAAGGGTCACAACGAGACCTCCTGCATCTTTCACATCTCTTTGCTTCTGGCACTGCTCAAGTTCAAGGGTGTCTCATTGACTCCTTAGCTACAGGAAGGGCTCTTCACATTTGGACATGTTCCCTCTTTTACTGGCTATGTTAAATATGACAAAAAAAATTTTTTAGCTTCTCTTAATCCCTTCAACATTATTTGTTAAATTTGAGCCTTTAAATTTACGTGTATTTGTATGTATGGTTAAGTTAAATATGAATATATTAAAAATAAATATGTGCAATCTTAATGATTATTTAAATCTCTATATGGGGTTGTTAAATACTATTATATGAAGCATAACAAGTATGGTGTTTTCTACATAAATGTAACTCTTAAATACAGTAGAACTTCCATCTTTCCCTGGAGTGCACCTCTCTTGACCTTGGTGCATGACCTTTTGTTATGTGGAACATCCTTCTTTTGAAAGGTGAAAATCATTTGGTGCTAATTAGAGTTTTCCTTTTAATCATAGCCTGTTCTAGGAACAAGCAAAAAAACATATGACTGGTCATTTATTTGGCCAGTTAAAAAGTCCATTGTCAGACTCAACTGTCGACAACATGCGACACACCAGCTGTTGAGGTTGCGAAATATGTATACAAAACAGGGAAACCCCTTGTGTTGGACTCTCCAATGCCAATGAATTAACCACTGTTCCCATTATCCCAAACTGATAGACATCCTACAGATTTCCAGCTGTGTAGCACAAATCTGCACTATCAAAGGTTTTATAGATTGGTTATAGCAAGATATGTGCATAGTTTTTGTAGCGTTTGTAACTCTAGAAAAAAAAGGATATGTTTGTACTTGATAACTAGCACTATAGAATGTGTTCTCAACTTCGAGGTCAACAAGCAAAATAAGCAAGAGGTTCCCTTTGAAGTTGCAGGGGGTTTGCTATAAAATATGGCACAGGGGAACCTTTAAACTAACATATATCCTTTTCCACCAAGGGTCTATTCATTCTATTACACTTCCTGATGTGTTATTGGCTATTTTTATCTGCTATTCTAATTCCCATACCATCTGTATTCACCTCTCGTTCTTCCGTTCCAGCTGTATAGGGTGTAATATGAATTGTTTCCAAAGGAAGGCATATATCAACATTTGGAAGTTATCCTGAGATTAGGAAATGCATGCCCATCATACTTTAGTGCTGGGGAATGTTTTCACATAATGTTCAGTGTGTTCTGGGGTGTCTACGCTATAATTGTAAAATGCGGTCATAATAAAAATAGAGGGTGTGTACCCCATTAACAATGGTCAGAATTGATGTGACAGCCACTTATTCTCTTTGAATTTTTATCTCAAGCCTTCCATGCAAGATTCAAGAATGAGGTAAATTGCTATAAATAACTTAACGTTAAACTGCCATTAGAATTGATTAAATGTACCGTTCCCTTCTTACTGGTGACCATACCTCTTACTCATCACGTAAAAGCACTAGTGTAGTATTTACTGAGATAATTATGGAGCAATTGGGATTTGAGTTAAATGTCAAACTGCTAGAAAACCCTTGCATTTCATGGACATTAACGAGACAAAGAAAAGCAGAAGTAATTTTTTTACTTGGCTGTTAGATTGTACCATTTCCCTTGAAGTAACATAACAGTTCTTGCTTATCTTGTTGAGAGTTAACAACCAATTAAAAAAATATGGCAGCGTTAGAAAACATCAGATGCAGAGTTTGAGGTTTGGTAACTTGGGTATTTGGCATAAACTTTCAAGTTGTTGACAGCTTGAAACAAGATATACTTGCATGTTTCTTGTAGTTCAGCTGTTAATTATATTTTCTTTTGAACCACTTGGAGCTTTCATTTTTCAAAAACTAGCCATTGGTTTTATTGGAAAGCAGAGGAGGTAGCACCTGGGTACCAATTATTAGACTTGCTGTTGTGTTTAAATTCTTTGATTTCTGGAATCATCTACATTGCATTACTCACTTTACTGTCCCTTTAAGTTTTTTTCCTGTATCCTGGATAAGACCTATTTTCCCAGTGCTAACAATCAATGCTGTATTCAACTTTTTTTTTGACCAAGGACAATGACTGGTTTAATAAGTTAACACATCCTCTTTTTGAACCCATATTTCACATTAACATATATTTACTTATTTGGTATTTACTGTGCATATGAGGGCAGGAAGTTGATATGTTGTTACCTATCCCTATGGAATGAATAAGTATTGATAATACTAAATATATAGGACATTTAGATGCAGATATTTTGTAGTAAAAAAAACACCAACGGTAGGGTCTTTAAATACACGATATTGATGATGACACAGAATTTCATTAATCCTTAAAATTTCGGGGCATAGTTGCTGCTTTTTGAAGCCTTGCAAATGAAAAAATACAATTTCTAAGAAATAGTAATTTTTACATTTTACATTACCTTTGGCTGTTTGTGGCTGCCAGATAGAAAGTCACTATGGGTTTTCAAAATAGATTCAATTACTGAATCAATTCAGATTGAATTAAATTGAACTATGCTGAAATCAGAAGTTGTGTGTATTCAATGATTATATGAGAAACATAATATTCAGTGATTCTTTCTGTCCCTGGAATAAATGTACGTTTTAATGGCTTTTTTAATTTTGGGATTTTTTTTAAGAGATGGCAGTCCAAATTTATATTTTTAGCCTGGTCCTTTAAGGGCTTAAAAATGTAAATATTAATTTACACTAAAGACAAGGCGTAAAAACAGCAGAACCTGAAAATGTGTTCAATGTGTAGTTATGGCCAAGTGTGCTGTCGGATCTGGTTGTGAAAAGTGTTTGATTAACACACATTTTCTGTGAATGCTCTGCAGTGTCACAAATCACACCTTGGCATCAGGGGATGAAAATAGTTAATACGTTTCTCACAAACACATTGTGGGTTTTTGTCTTCATTTTTCTGAATACTATAACTTTAACTTCTTGACAGAAGTCAGTATACTGAATAACGGGCATGATAAAGCCCTTTTGTGAGCTGAAAAGTTGCTTATGTGACTAATAAATTATACTGCCCTTTTTAACACTGAAACTGAGCCCCGTATTGCTGGATAAATAAGTCATTGTGCTGCCAGTATGATTTAAAACCAGTCTTTAAATGAACTCCAAAAAACATAGCATACTGTAGTGGTTATGGTGTCATGAGTGCCCTGCCGTTCCCTTAATACAAGCATTCAAATAGTTTAGTAAGGGTTTGATCTCTTACTTGGAGTCCACCACACACCACTTCCTGCCTCTTCTGGAAGCTATCAGCTGACATTTTCACTTGGGGTTAAGAGGACACAGTAGTGGCACCCAGCACCACCCAGTGGAGCAAGGGCACATCTAGCACCATAAAGACTACAGCATGTTGTAGTGGATATAGTGCTTGGAGTGTTCCTGTAAGACTTCTGTTATTCTGTGTTCACAGGTGTTTTTGTTAGCTTTAGAACAACTTTTGTTGATTCATGTTCTAATGAAGCGTTCTTAGTGAATTTCCAATGTTATCATAAATAATGGTACAGCTTCATTGATATATATTGCTTTACTGCTTCCAATGTATGTGTCAAGTGACCCTTAAATATTCAGATGTCTGGGCCTGGTGGTGCCTAGAAGGTTGGCTCCTAGACCAAGATAGGGTTAGTCGAAACAAAAAGATACATTCAAATAGAAGAAGTGGATGGCAAAAGCATCGAACTTTATGTGGACAGGCCATGCAAAAATGCATGGTTATAAACGTCTCCAAAATTAGAGGAGACTGAAGGGCTGATAATCAGTTATCAAACCCTAAGACTCGATAGTGGGGCATGCATGTTTAAGACTGTAGGTCCTATCCAAGCATAATCTCATATAACGCTAATTGAAAAATTAAAATAATAACTGAGATAAAAATAAACAATGATAATCTCTTATGATATTAATTTGGCTACTAACATTGCAAAAGCAGAATGTTCTCACACCTCTGTAAAGATGAAGAGCTCCCCTATTAAAGGAGCGACATGTGATGTGACAGACTTGCCAAAATATTGTTTTTCCATAAAACTTGACTGATCTATTGTGGGAAACTGTTACATCCGAGAATGATTGCCTGAATGATGTGGAATATTTGGCACTTTATTTGAGCATCCTGTTGGCTTTGGCCACAGGAGTGAGGTATGCTTTGATCTTGTAGCTCTATGCTTATGTACCAGTTCCTTGTCGCTTTTAATGTGCCTTCAGTGACCCAGAAATAGAAACCTCTTAAATTGTATGTACAGTTAGCTCCCATGGCATCCTGGGAAATAAAAAAAGAAGTGTTCAGATTCAATTTAATACCTCCCCAACATTATTTTTTTTAACACTGATCACCCAAGAAGAGTAGAAGTCCACAACAGCCCAAATATTTTTGCCCAATGGTTTGCACTGAACATGGTAGCATGTATGGTATTCATAGTAATGGTATAAATGAATTAAATTATTAACCTAAAATTCTAAGTGTTTACATTGATCTGTGGTAAGGTAACTGAGATCTGCTAACTGATCTGTGGGTTAGGTTGTTATGCTTTTTTTTTTTTTTTGCATTTAACATTAATATTGCAATCCTATTAAATGTTTGTTTGGAGAGAAAAATGAATCACCTATACATGGCTTTTTTTTTGTTTTTTGTTTAGGTTTATCGAGCAAATATTAGTATAGATTTCTTACGATGAATTTTAAAAAAAGGCTATTCTATGATGGCCTTAGCCTTCCGGCACCCTGGAAAAGTATTTCATTGATGCCAGTTATCACCCTGCATAACCCATATATAACACCTTTAATCCGTGGCCGGTAGTAAGATAGCGTCTCAAGTTTCTAGTCTCTGAGTTCCGGGGATACCATACACTGCTGAATTTCCACGAACACACGTGTGGAGAGTTTATTGAAGCATGTTGCTTATGGAAGAGGATTAGAAGGGGCCCAAAAAGGGACACTAAAGAAAGAACACAGGGAATGTTTAATAGACCGTTTTGCCCTGTAAAATATGTAAGATGCACCCACAAGCAATAAATGTAAACCCATTTTAAAGTGCATATGACTGTGTGCAAAGAAATAGCTTGTGGTTTAGACATTACAATTCAGATCTGCACAACAAAGTTGCTGGCAGATAACTTTGGATAATATTATATAAGATGAAAAATCTGTATATTCCACCACTTTGTAATTTTCTTGAGCTTTCCATTTTCCATCGCACAGGAAGGTGGGGCAGGTGTGTCTATTAGTCCATTTTCAGGGAAGGCACTAACGTTTTCTAAAATTCAGAAAATCAACTTGAGCAGCATCTAATTTAGCTTTACAATATGGTTCTAAATTCATAGGAGTCACATAAAAATTTATTTGTAAAACCACTATATTTAATGGTTTCATAGGTCGGTAAAGGGTTAAACACCTGTCCCATCCTGTCTGGCAGGTGTGAATGTTAAATGAAGTGGGCACGACACAGTGTAAATAAATAACCCACAATGTTTGGGTGAGTCTGGGAGATCAGATTCCAAAACATGGGGGAAATAAAGGAAAGCATTGTACGCAATATCTCCTCCCAACGCCTCGCCACAACCTTAGCAAATTTTTCATCTCCGACTGCATAAATACCAGTTGTATCCTGCCCCTTTTTGTGAGCTGACATTCATACAGTCTGCTTTTTTCCCTTCTCCTCCTAAATCATTATGTTCTGGGAAAAGAAAACAGCCATTTTATTGATGTTATATACTAGTAGTATCTTGCTCCAATTTTATTCATTTTTTGCCATTTATCTGGCAATCCTTGCCTTTGATGTCACGTTAAGGTAAAGAAAAACAAGGAATAGCAAACTGCTCGTGATAAATTGTTGTGTCGATACATTCTAAAGTGAATTTCAAATTTAAGACCAAAGCAGCTAAACTAAAAGCAAAGTTGACAGAAAATGTTTAAAGTTCAGCTATCCTGAACTTAAAGGAACAATATAGTGTTAGAAACACAAACACGTATTCCTGACGCTATAGTGGTAAAATCAATCTTTAGCCCCCGCCTCCGTTTGAAAAAATATTTGACTTACATTTTTTCCAGCGCCGCACTGGTCTAGCCGCGGCTGAGATAATCAAATTTGACAATTTCATAGCCAATCCAATGCTATCCCATAGGAAAGCATTGGGAGACTATTGAGCATGTGTGGCAAAACACCATGCTGCACCAATTTGCTTCTCTTCATAGAGGTGCAGTGAATCAATGCATCTTTCAGTGTGTGAACATCAGTGCTGACCCACACAGCACCTCTAGTGTCTCTGAAAATGCAGTGTTTTACATTAAAAAGCTAAAAATGCTATAGTGACCAGAACAACTATATTAAGGTATGCTTGCTCTGGTGACTCCTGGTATACTCTTAAGAAGAATATTGCTGGCCTCCCATGGACACCATTTTTGTTGTGTGTGATGATATGACCTTCATATATCGTCCGTGGGTATTATTATTATATAACTTACAGCACTAAACTGCTCCACTAAATGCTAAAGACTCCTCTGGTAGCGTATGTAGGATATACTGAGCTGATAACTGGTTACCATATGGTATTATATCATCCAGTCTTCTGGCAAATCTTACTAGTAATTACTCTATAGAGGACAATGAATAGCCATATCTTATGAGACCTCAAAGAAGAGACAACACCAGTTTCTTTCTTGGCAACTCCTTAGAACTCAGATTCACCCTGACTCCATTTATTGTATCACGATCCTGCTTACAAAGATTACAGCATACAGTAAAATAAACATTACAAAAAACATTCACCAATAGGAATACAGAAGAGATCACAGAGAAAGAACTACAAAGCAATAACATGATTTCTTACACTAGTTACCACCTCCCCCTGTGCCAGTACACCATGACAACAAAAGGTTATCTTGATTGGACCCACTGTCCCTTCAGAGTAATCTCTGGTTACATCAGTGGTAGTCAACCTTTTTCTACCTACCGCCCACTAATGCATCTTTCTTGATGGAAAATTTCCTTACCGTCCACCAGTGTTCGCGCAAGAGCGGAATATTTTTTAGAAAGAAGGGTGTTTTAAAAAAATAAATAAATGTACGTACATTTATCTTTTTATTTTTACTTTATGCATGTTTAGGTTTTTAACTTTAGAAAGTTTATTGAGAAAACAAAGAAAATTGAAATTACCTTTACTAGTGATTAATGAGATCCTTGAGGTTGATGCTGCGAGACTAAATATTTAATATCTGGTTCGATTTTTGTAAGGAACAAACGAAGGTCTCCTCTTTCGGTGATATTCAGACGACTTCTCTGTTTGCTCATAATATGATTTCTCATCTGTGCGTCAGCTTCCCTCCTCAATTCCCCTCCCCACCTTTCTCCCCCCCCCTTTTTCTATTTTTTTAACCTTCCTTATAGCAATGCCCAGTAGGAGGGCTGAGCTAGGCAGCCCACTTACTATAGCCCACTATAACAGAGAGGCACACATACAGACACACACACAAGACACACATACATACAGACATACAAAGATACATACAGACACAAGACACACATACAAAGACACACGCCATATACATACAAAGACAAGACATACATAGATATATAGAGAGAGACAGACACACATAAGACACATCCATACAAAGACACATACATACAGACAGAAAGACACACACAAAACATACATACAAAGACACATACACACAAACACACACTAAATATTTTAGTCACCCTTCTGTTTCCTACCTTTTAGGTGCAGGAGGGTGACATTCCCTGGGGTCCAGTGGTGACTCAGGTGGATGGGAGTCAGAGTTCCTACTCTGACTCCCTCTGCTTCCTCCTGCGCGGTCTGTGTTAGCTGGGAGGGGTGACATGCAGTCACTTCCTCCCAGCTCTGTGTGATGTAATCACAGGTGGCCCGGTCGCGCTGTTAAAGTGCCCAGTGCTGACCGGGCCCCCTTACAATCCATAACCATCGGGTGGCCCAGACAGCATGGGCCACCCAATGAACTCCTTGGACGGTGGCCGGGGCCGCAAATGGTGATGGCAGGTACCCAGTTGCAGGGGCACTGCTGGCTCGCGCCTGTCCAATCTCTCAAAATGAGGAAATCCCTACCGCCCACCGGGAATCCTGAAACGCCCACTAGTGGGCGGTAGGGACCAGGTTGACTACCCATGGGTTACATCAACACAGCCCTTTGCTGTCAGAATAAATTTCACACCAAACTATACTTTATAGTTTATAGAGCTGCTGCCTCCCAACCCTTTGTTTTCCCACAGCTGCATATACAGAAACACACACGGCTTTATGTATAATATAGGTACACAATACAGCGATATCTAGATACATGGAAAACAGTCACAAAAATGGCGCAGCAAGCTCATGGCTTGCGCCAAACAAATCAGGCCACCAATTACATTGTGAGTTACAGAAATGCTGGTGGTAGATACTAAGGGGTTTAAAACAAAACAGATATTTTGACAGCTATATATGAAGTTTAGCTGATAAAGGATTCTGTGGGAGCCGATACCTTGTATGGTTTTCCAATAAAATCTACCTAAGCACCATCTGTATGTGCCCGGTCTAACTTTCTTCATGATTATAGCTAAGCATGTAGATGACAAAATGGCACCATGCCATATTTGGAATGACAGATGCACATTTAATATTTTTACTGTTTTCTATTTAATGTACTGTGGTAGTATAAATGTATACAACAATTAAATCGATGGAAAAATATGTACAGTGCGTTGTTTAGAACCTACTTAATCACTAAGCTAATGTAGGTGGAAAATTTAGAAAAAGCACCTTATAGTCCAGAATTTTCTCCTTAACAAATTCTGGACTGTGTCTTCTAGACTTTTTTCAGAATTTTCCTCTCTAGCTTTAGCTATAACTAAATGCAGTCAGTGACTAATTAGAATGTTCTGCATTGAATTAGGTTTGGCTGTCACTAGCATTGGTTAGCGGTTAGCTGTGTAAACTTCTGAATAATAGTCTGTGGGACACAATTTCTCAAGAGTGCATTAGCAACGATGCGGTACTATTAACCCTTGCACAACCTCTGGGTTAACAAGTAATACAAGACACTAGACATAACCACACCCTTGTAGTTTGGATTATCATGGTAGATTCCTTCCAGGCTAAACCTAAAACAATGTTCAGTGTGATTGTATGTGAATATTTCTTTTCAGTCTTTGAAGTGGAGTTCTGATCAACTTCTCCTTATTACACTTGGGGATCTGATGATCTATGCCATTATTACTACCTCACAAATGTCCCTATTTTACATTTCAAAATGTCAGAGGGACTGACAAATGTACAAGCTGTGGTTTAAAAAATGGCATTGAAAAGAATAGTTGGATGACTTAATGACCTATTCATTGTTTGGCTAATTTTAGAACAAAGTATTAAGAGCAAGGACTTTGTTTATAGAAACTAAGAAAGCATGTGAATAATACATATAAGTGCAAGTTTATCTGTTCTAAAGTTCTAAAATACACTTGCATACACCAGCATCTGAAAAGGGATACTAGGGTACAAGAAGGACAGATATAATGTACAGCCTGATGAGGGGAACCTAGTAGTATATTAAATAATAGAATAACATACCTCTGATGTAGTGGCTTCAATTTAGGGATTTTGTGTATGAGAGCTCAAAAGTGCAGCCGATTAGGAAGAAACGGTAGCTGGTAAATGTCGTTTCAAGGATGAAGCATACCTTATGCCATTTATAGTATTTCTAAAATATCTGCATTTTCACCAATGTTTAACATATTGAGTACATTTTCTCCAAAAGCTTTATCTCATCCATGGGATTGTGCCATGGTGGGAGAGGTGACTATATGGTGTATTAATGCAGACCCCAAATGTGTCTATTGTAGAGAAGCAAACATCCAAGACAAAATAAACAATTTTCTGAAATTTGAGAAACTTAATAACATGATAATGTCACATTGAAATCCATACAACACAATACATTGTTTCTACACAGAAAAATATACATGTAGCCGGTCACTAGTCTAGATGTTGTTCAAATTAAAAGGACACTGTAGGCATCCAGACCAATCCAGCTCATTGAAGTGGTCTGGGTGCAGTGTCCATTTTGCACCTAGTGCTGCAATGTTAAACATTGTAGTTCAAGAGAACTGCAATTTTAACATTGCAACTCTAAGTCTGCCCACAGCTTCCTGATTCGAAATGGACCTTTGGTCTGCTATCTGCTATCTATCACATTCTGCATGAGGACATCCAGCGTCAGATTTTTTCCCCATAAGAAAGCATTGATTCAATGGTTTCCTATGGTGAGGTCTAATGCACATTATCGCCCGCTCATCGCAGGCTGTCGGAGGGGAGGCAGGGAGAGAGGGAGGGAGGCAGATGAAGCTACAGTGCTAGGAATACAGATTTGTATTCCTGGCACTATAGTATCCCTTTAAACGACCACGTTTCCGCATCGCAAACACAGTCAAACTCACTGCTTGGTGCAGCTTGGCGATTTTTTGTGCATGCGCACTAGCCTCCCAATGCTCCCTATGAGGAAGCATTGGATTAACTAAGATCATAAAGATTCAGCTCTTCACAGTCAAAGAGGTAGGACAAGGCGAGGGATGAAAATGTATGTTAATAGGTTTTTTTTACTTAAGACTGCGGGCAGTTACCTAAACTGTTAGCAGGAAACTATAGTGTTAAAAAAACATGTTGATACTTAATTTTATTACCACTGGAAGAAGAATAAATGGCTGAGATGATAATGCTGTGATCAAACTCTGTGGCTAGAGTGTATACCTATAGACTGATCTGCTGTCAGATTACTATTTACTGAATAAATCCCTATAACCACACTGAATTTGTGCATTGTAGTTTGGAAATATATGCCTGGGGTGTCAACTCTATGCCTGCTACAATAGAACTGCTTTAGCACTATAATAACACTACGGGTGTGTTACCTAATTACAGACATGTAACCATAGAATGTTATATGAACTACAAAGGAAACTTCAAAGGGAATCTGGAAAAGAGATTTACAGGTGGTATTTATGACTAATCCTTTGTAACAAAGTAATATTATAAAATAATCACTGTCTCTATGTAATGTAAAACAGTACATAATTTAAACATAAATGTAAAATAATACAGTTAAACTATTAATATTTTACAGTCCATTAACTTTAGTTTTTTTTTGTCTTTTTTAGTGATAAGAGCCAAAGTGGTGGGGAAGAAACTTATGAAGGATGGACCTTTTGGAACCATGCGCTACACTGTAAAACAAATGAAAGTAAGAAGTTCATACCCCTGACCTCATTATAAAACCTGTACATCTATGTAGACAAATATTGTTGCTTTTAGTATTAAAGAAAATCTCCAAGCACCATAAACACTACAGAGAGAATTGCCCTGGCACTACACCCATCGTAAGTTGTCAAATCGTTTTAGAATGCTGGGTTCCAAATGCTACCCACCTCCTCTTTCACAGCCAGAGGGCCGATAGCTTCTGTTTAGGAACTTTTGTTTGCTGTCCTGAGCTAAGCTTGTCACCTGATTGCCTTCATTCCATCAGCTAAGCCCTGCATTTTACGATTTAGCTCAGACAAAGAGAACTTACTTCTCTGGCTGAGGTAGTGGATATGGGGAGCAATACCAGCAGACAACAGGTGGGAGGTGTGCCAGAGCACTCCTGGCACCATAACCACTAAAGCACGCTGTAGTGTACCTTTAAAGTTGCATACCTCCAGCAGTCCTAGTTCCAAATGTTGAAGTGTATTAATAGTTAATGAACCAAAGTCTACTGTTTTACCTGTATCTGGTATATCACTCATGCTTAATAAAAAAAAACAAAAACAAAAAAACTCAAGGCGAATTTGATTTAAGCGTGAATTTCAATTTGTAGTCCAGAATAGCTGAATTGGAAAAATTCTGTATTTCTGCTCTATTTTTACTACCATAATGAGTAGGGCTCAAAAAACATATAGTCTGAATAAATAATAGAAGCAAAAGGCTAATTTAATATAGTGGTAACAGTGGAACTTTTGTATCTGAGAAATTAGAAAGTAGTTTTTTTCTTTCTATTTTCTTTAAATGCTTTGCTATCCTGAAACAGCCAGAGCATTGCTTGCAAAATATTTTGACCGTAACACAACTGTGTATGCTGGCGCCATGAGACACGCATGTTCAGAGTACTGTGGAAGGAGATGGTACAAGGTACAATATTTCTCTGCAGATGCTCAAGCATGCATCAAGATCATTAAGAGTTGATATCATAACCCTGGAAACTGAAATGTTGTGGATGTAAGTGCATACTTACCTCCACTACACTACTCACTTTAGTAATGTTTATTAGTGCAGTGTTATAGTCACTTTCAGGGTAATGATGATGCCACTAAGTTTATAAACTCAAGAATAAAGCATTGCAAAACCATTTCTTTTCCAATATAAATGCTGTATCTACCAATAAAGTTTCTAAGTGTTTTGTCTTGTTTTTTTGAACATATTTAATGGCCAATGTCCATTGGTAGGGGACATGGTAATTCAGCATGTTGGTTTTGTAAACACATGATCTAATCCTTTTTTACCTCGTCTTTCTCTGGGCGCACACTGGTTAGACAGATATGTGCTTTCAAGCTTTAATTCCAACTTTAATTCCAATTTTTCTTATTTGTCATCTTTGGTAAAGAAATTCTCCTTTTTTTATTTTCAAAATTCTACATAAAATAACATTCCTACTTTTTCTCTGGAGGCTGCCATGTAGACAGGAGTGGCAACAAAATGCTCTGCCAGTAGTCTGCCTCACCAACCCCCCCCCCCTACCTAAAGAGATGGCTGCCTGGAGCATCAACTTCGAGAACTCTCTCCAGTGTAAACATACTTATTAGTCTTTCTGGTAACCATTTTCCTGCCACAGGATCATGCAATGCATGTGAAAGCAAAATGGTTGCAGGTATCTCTTCCAGCAGTTACTACAATTAGGTGGATTTTAACCAGACTGTTTTAATAACTTGATCTCATAGCTTGCGAAGTGTATGAGGTTAAAGGCTTGGCTGTGACCCTCGAGTCATGAGGCTGGCTCATTTCCCTTACCAAGAAAGGAAAGTAATGCTTTTGGCTCAGTGTCTTAAAACCTGCAACTTATTAAACAGAATAAAGCTTTAGGGAGAAACAAGCAGGCCACATGTCGTCCCAATAACAATTCTGTTATTTAAATGCAGATCCAAGAGGGGCCATGTGTAGGTCTTTGTGCGAGAATGGAAATCCAGAGCCAAAGTGACTAGTAGATTTGGATAATAAGTAATTTTGCAAATGAGAAGCTGTAATTTTGTGATAAAAAGGTTTTATATTGGTAAAGTGCTGGAGGATTCTTTTATTTTTAATATTTGGATTTATAAACAGTAATTTTAGTTGTATGGCTGGGTATAGTCAACCATCAGTACTCTAGATGTCGATTTGATAATGTGCCAGCATTATGGCTGGAAGAGCATTATGGGAGGTGTAGTCCAAAACCTGGCTATATACACCAGCATGTCACATCTTTGGAACAATATATGCAGTCTCCTGTGCTATGTTTCTTCCAGCCAGCTGTAGTAGAAAATCTACCACAACTGACCAACCATAATGAAAACATATCTTTCCAGGCTAAGTGTAGTGGAAGACGTACCTCTTAAGTTAAAGGGACACTCCACTGCCCAAATACCAAATAAATAAAAATCACTGTTTAATAAATATATCACCAAAAAAAATCAATAATTTATTTTAAATGAATACAAGCCTTCATTAGGGGCTATGTCTAAAAACAGCTTGCAAAACTTGCAGTTTTCTTGTCTGCTGCCTTTGTAAACCCTCCCCTTCTAACCATGCCCAGACTTTATGTGGCTGTCCAATCACAGACTTCCCAATGCAGCTCAATGACAAGTCTTTGCAAGGCAGGTGCTCTGGGCGATCCCTGCTTCTTGAGTTTAGCTCCACTGAGCTAATGAAACCAGGAAATAACAGGACCTGTTGTCTTCTTGAAAGCCAAGGTGGTATAACCAGGTTAATTTATAAAGGTTTCAATTTACATTGAAATCTGCACTTGTTCCAAAATGAAAAGGAGACACATTCTTCACACAAAGCTTTCCAGCAAAGTGCTTTAGGGGTCTGGAGTGTCCCATTAACTGTATTAGAAGAATTTTGATTGATATCTTCCCAGCCAACAAACTACCTAATGGTATCTAATAGATAAGTTCATATCTTGCTATGTTTTAACTGAATGTGTACTGCGTGTGTACGAATTGTAAACATGAGAAGAATTATGTAATTTCTAAACATGTTGTACTTGGAATTCTAAGTCAGAAAACAAATGTGCTGGGTATTATTTTTACACCCATTAATCTATTTTGCTGCAAAAAACATACACTTTCTTGCAACTACGCTTGAATTTAAACAAATGTGCTTTCATGTTCTCAATTCTCTGTATTTTAAAATCTAGACACAATGGGGGGATTTATAAAGGTGTTTTGAAAAACATCTTTGGTTCTTGGTGTCCAATACAGGTTTAAGTTGTTTATGAAAAATGGTCTAAAAATGTCCCCTTTACCCGCATTCTGCCATTTTTTTGTAAAAATACATTTCAGAATAGACATCCAAATTTAGAGCGGCAGAAGAAAGGAAATGAAACAGAATTCTTTTCCGTTGGAGAAAGTGATGTAAAGATTAAATACATTGCTTTGCAAAAGAAAAATTGCATACATTCAAAAAATAAGCAAAGGAAACAAAGTTTACAAAATGAGAAAACCTTCAAGATTTAGGAAATTATTCCAAACAATAAAATTGTACAACACTGTCTGTGGCACTTCGTTAATCTCGCTCAATATGACAGAATAATGGTTGATTCAATAATCCTACACAGACTTTATCCACAGAGAGTTTAGGGTGAAGATCTCATGTGGTCGCTAGAGTACAGAAAAACTGATCCTGTAAAAAACGGGGAGAAAAAATAGGTATTGGAAGCTAATTCTATTTAAGGGACTCTCCAGTGCCAGGAAAACAATCTGTTTTCCTGGCACTGCAGGCCCCCTCTTCCTCCCACCTGCCATCATCGGTTGCTCAGTCACTTACCAAAGGAAGCGACGATGTCCCTTGTCGCTGCTTTTTCCGCCGCTCCTCCCCTTCATCACGTCAGCCGGCGGGGGAGACTGATCCCACCCGCCGGCTGGGGAGACCTAATGCGCATGCACGGCAATCACGCGCATTAGACCTCTCCATAGGAAAGCATTGAATATGCTTTTCAATGCTTTCCTATTGGCTTTTTAGCGATGCTGGAGGTCCTCACATAGCGACGCTATAGCACAGAAAACCTGTGCTATGGACAAGGAAGTGCCCTCTAGTGGCTGTCTAGTAGACAGCCACTAGGGGAGGACTTAACCCTGCAAAGTAATTATTGCAATTAATGATTTATGAAAACTGCAATAATTACAGTTGCAGGGTTAAGGGTAGTGGGAGTTGGCACCCAGACCACTCCAATGGGCAAAAGTGGTCTGGGTGCCTGCAGTGTCCCTCTAATCAATTCCTGCATCATTGTATTGGGTGTTTGACAGCTAATAAATCAAAGCATTGTGGGTGTAACTTCCCTTATCAAATCCAGATGGCTTACAGGGTGGACTTTGAGAGACCTTTTATCATTAGCCAATTGTGACCTCAGGCTAATATGCTAATCATGTGCCAACTTCTGCTTGCTTTTTCAAAGTTTAATTTATTTGACAAGATATCACTATTGGGTTTCTTATTCAACACCATAACTTTCCTTTTACAACTAGACAAATAGTTGTATGTTGAATTAATTCTGACCTTTGTGATAGATCAAGGTTGTAGTGAATAATTAGGTGGAAAACTTCATAATAGGTGACCAAAGATAAGACTGTCTTTGAAATCTTTATTTTAAGGACCCCTAATAATTTTACGGAAACGTATTTTAGAGCAATTTCCATCTCTTTTCACAATGTAAACGGCACAAATTCACCTTGACATTCTTTCTCGTCTGATCACTTTAGGGGATAGTAGGTCTCCTAAAGTAAATTGTAAGCTCACTGGATTTAGATAATCATACCAATACTTTGAGTGTAGTAGAATAATAATGACGCTTTGTTTTTTTGGAACTTGATAAAAATGTATGGCTGTTTTTTCCAAACTACGGACAGGACTGTTGGAATATCCCAGAGGAGCTGGTATCCAAGAGTTAATAGTTGTTTGCTAAAATATATAGTAAATCTGGAGCTTTTTCAAACTTGGCTAATGCAATTGTCCTATTTAAAAATAGAACTGTGATGTATTGAATTTACATCTCGAAATCTGTACCTAAACTATGTCTTTCTCTTCATTTTTAGAGAAATTACTCTCCAAAAACTATATTTGTAAAGCCCTGCTGCTAACTTTCCATTTTGTTCCAGTAAGATCATGTATGTGATAATTGGCATGGCATATGCTACAACCTATTTGAAAGAGTCTGGGAGGACAGGGGGTAAACAAAAGCTCCTGGTCCTTGACAGTGCCTCCATTGCTGTTAATAATTAACGCACATTCCAAATGCCATTGGTTTTGCAATTTACACGCCTTCTCTATGTTTCTTATTAGATGTATCGTGGTTTTAAAATGATGCCTCTGGTCCAGTACATCTACACAGAAGCCTCTGAAAGTTTATGTGGGGTCAAACTGGAAGTCAACAAATACCAGTACCTGATAACAGGTAGGTAACCTCATGCTAAAATCCATATATTTAGACAGATACATTCAGGCAAACAAAAAAAATATAAACAAAACACACAATAGGTATAGAGCTTGTGTTTGTTTGTTTTTTTTGTTTGTTTATATTGTCGATGATAAACCACAAGAGAAGAGAAGCTTCCACCTTTGCACACAACTTTGTTCACTGGCAGTTAAGCATTTTTTTTATTGAAATTTATTTGATTATATGTTTGATACTGGTTGTGTAATCTTTTTAGACCTGAATGATAAATTATCATAAGTACTTATCTATAACTGGTTTTGGCATCAGTATCCTATTATGGAAGCCAGGTTACATGACACCCATTTGGCATGGGATTCTTTTTTTTTTTTTTTTAGAAAATGTCATACTGTAGGAAATAGCCCATCATTTGTTACCCGTTCCATGTCCATGTCCTAAAGAGCACAAATCCTAAAAAAGAAACTTCTCGTATTTCTCGATAGGAAATAGCAATACTTCTAACGAGTGATGTAAGTGATTTTATTCTGCTCCTTGTTCTCCTGCATAGGACGTGTATATGAAGGAAAGGTGTATACAGGTCTGTGCAACCTAATTGAAAAATGGGAAAAACTGACCCTCGCTCAGCGCAAAGGGCTTAATCACCGATACCATCTGGGCTGCAATTGCAAGGTGAGACCTGTTCCTTAGTCCTGCCTCATATTGATATAAGAAAAAGGTGGGGCTACTTTGTATAATGGTCAAGTCTGAAGTTGACAAAACTTGACCGTAGAACTTCCGTAGATTTTCATTTCCTGCAGCTGTTACTAACCAATTCTAGTTGACCCTGTTTCAACAGAATGAGAGTCACAACTGTGTTTATCCATGTTTTTTTGCAGATAAAGTCATGTTACTACTTGCCCTGTTTTATCACTTCCAAAAACGAGTGCCTCTGGACGGACATGCTGTCCAACTTTGGCTATCCTGGCTACCAGTCCCAGAACTACGCCTGCATCAAGCAAAAAGAGGGTTACTGTAGCTGGTACAGAGGATGGGCACCACCAGACAAAACCATAATCAACACTACGGACCCCTGAATCCTTTTGGGCCAGAAGCTGCAATGGACAGTACCAATGATATGAAAACACAAACAGCAATGACATTTGTGCCTATTTTCTTGCAAAATTTAGCACTTCGAACACTTAAATCTTTGCCATCATTATTAAGAGTATATTTTTTAATCACTCTGTTTATTTTGGTTTTCAATCACCCATTTTTAAGCCAGATCTGGGCAGAATTCTCTTGGAAGGTCCTTTTCAGAGTGTTGCTGATATAACCGGTTTGTGACTCTGGATAATGCATTTACTTTCTTTTATATGCAAAGTGTACAGACATCAACAAGGGCATTGTTGAAAAGATAGACTGGAAAGTGGAAAGCATGGACACTTGGAAATGTATGTAACTGTCAAATAGTGCTGCGCATTGCTTTGCAGTCCTGAATCTCATACCACAAGGGGCGATGTATAACTAGCCAGTTGACAAGTAGTTGCTCTAAACTGCAATAGACAGGTGATTACAGTTGTAATAATAGATTTTAAACATAATATTGAATAGCTCACACAAAAAAGTATAGAAAGCTGTATCTAATCATGGAAAGACATTTTTTATTTATTTTTTTACTTCTCCCTCCTCCCCCTTCCAAAAAAAGTGCATTTTTGCAGAGTAGGGTTTATGGGTTTAATTTTTTGTGTGTGTGTGTGTTTTTTTTTTTTTTTTTTGACTTGACTTGTGAATTGCTTCAATGCTTTTAAAGAGTAGATGTTAACACGGCCTGATCTATTTCACAAGGAACTTACCGGGATAATATCAGTAATCCCTTAAAAACAATCAAGTGGATTGCTGGAGAAAATGTTTATTCTCATTGCACTGATAAATGGGAACCTTCCCATCACCCTGGCCAATTTGGGGGGTGATTGCAACAGTATTTTATCATGTATTTAATGATAGGTTTTGGCCATTTATGCTGGCGCAAGTCAGAGGTAGAACGCAACCCAGATGAAATAAGCTACATTACTCTCCAGGATAAAGTATGGGTGAAGTGACTTCTGGCTGGAAGAGGACAGACAGCCTAACCTAGAAATTGATACCAATGTATAAGATTCCTGTCATTGACTCATACATTGAAATATCAAAGTTTTCTTCCTTCATATTTCACCAATCTTCCACTGCTGGGACTGCTTCATCATATATTAGTAAAACATAAAATATGTGCAGTACCTTTAACATCGTCTCGACTTATGGTGGTCAGCAATTTCCATGAAATGCTTAATGTGACTCATAAGGTTTTCCAGAAACTTGCAGGATTATTTACTAAAGTGGGAATGATTGGGTATTCAGAGTGAATTTCAAATTTAAGGCTAAAGTAGCAGAACTGGAAGCATAGCTGACTTGGAAATGTTTATAGTTCAGTTATCTTGGCCTTTATTTTAAAATTCTCTTTGAATTTCTGACAATTCTCATTTTAGGGAATAACCCTGTAAACTAAAGCACTTAACAGCCACATAAATGCAGTATTCAGTTTGGGATGTTTAAAGATTAGAGGGTCTCCTAGCAAAAAAGGTGCCCAGATTTCTTCTTCTAGATATGTTATTTGTAATAATGTAAATCAAACAGATTTGGGACTTCCAAACCAAAACTAATTTTTTTGATTATTACTTTTTAAGTTGACACAGTTGTGAGAAGTGCTGATATTTTATTTTTATGTTCAGCAAATTAAATGCAGTTGCGGCTCCAAGCTATTAGGAGTGCTCAGATTATTTGATGTGCACATCTTTTATAGGCTCCTTTCTGCCATATAAGTAACCTTTCTGCTCCCAGCTTGCACCAATTTGTAAATCTATCGCAAAATACATAAAGAGGTCTACTCTCTAATCAGTGAGTCATGGTGGATTTATAATAGACTTACAGAACCTAGACCAAGATAGGAGAGTTGGTAAATCTTTAACTTAAAAGGGAAGATTAAAAAAACCAAAAACTCTACTGTCTTGGTCTGAATTTTGCAAATAAGTTTGTCACCGCCTCACAATGCATGGTTTAGTGAATAAGCCTCTGTATATTTTTATATTTTTGCTTGACTGGATAATTTATAGATGAATTTTATGTAGATTTCTAATATAAAGCCATTTTATTTTTGTTTTTAATCTGAGACAGGAGCGTCTGTTCTGAAAATGGGTGAGAAGAGTATGTTTTACTGAGGTTTTGTTACATTTTCTGGTTATATATTTTTTTTCTCTTATTTAACTTTATAGAGCAAAATGTTTTAATATATCTTCACTCCATTCCGTGTAGGGAGTAGCTGTTTTTATAACATGAAATCTATAATTTACTGGTTTTCTACATTATTTCACAAATAAGAGTATTTTATATGTATATGCTATATATTTTCATTGAATGTTCTTGTGTTTGGGTTTTAAAAGTACTTTCTAAGTCATGCTCTTCCATAAACAACATTATTAAAACTGTGGTGAGATCAAAAAGTGACAAACACTTAGCTTATTTAAAGGAACATTGCAAGCATAGCTTCTTGTAGTGGTTGTGGTGGCAGGATTGCCTTGGCACATTCCCACATGAAGGTGTCAAATCATTTTAGAACATTCTGACAACTTACCTGTGTTCTGCTGGACATTTGTGTTCGCATCTGCCATATCTGTGCTTCTCCAGCAAGACAAGATGACTGTGTCTATAGAGTAGAGAACATCTAGTGCAGTACTTTGCTCATTGGATGAGAGCATCCAACGGGACTCAGGAAAACCGTACTAAAACTGTTTGACATCTTACTGTGGAACAGTGCCAGAGCACTGCTGGCATCATAACCACTACATCGGACAATAGCGATTATGATCCTTGGATTGTTTAAAAAAGTTCTCAAATGTTTCAAGATTTCCAACAGACAACAAGGAGCCAGCACCATGCTGACTAGCCACAAGAGGCAACTGATCAGTCCCATGCTAGGCAAAGGTCTATTCACATCCTAACCTTTACATTTTCATAAAACGTGTTCTAAAACTGAAATAAATTTTGAAGCTAACCTATGGAAATTTGTGGTTGAAATCTGAAAAAAAGGAATGCGCAGTCTGCACTTTTTGGTATATTGGTTATAGAAACAAAATCTTTGGCCTGCTGAAGCCATTTTTCAAATATGCTTAAGGATGTGTGATGTCACACTGTGGTATATTTGAGAACCTAAATTAGTTTTTGTCACTTTCTGATCTATTATATATATCGAATGCAGTCTGTACCGGGATGAATAACATAGTTGTGCTTGAGCTGAAAAGTGTATAACAGAAAAGACAGGCTCCATAAATAATAACCTTTGGACAATCTTGTGGCCCCATTCAGCATGCTAAGAAAACGTTTTGTGCACATTTCAGATTACGCAATAAATGTAAAAAATGTGCTATGGATTATTGTAAAGATGTTTTTATGTTATTTAACTCAATTGTTTAAAAAAAAAAAAAAAGTATATTTAAAAAAATTAAAATCCTGTCTTGCAAAAGTCATATTATTGCCTGGGTGACCTATCTGGCATGGGAATTTTAATGGGTTTTTGGGCATTGTATATCAAAGTAACATTTGGCCATAATAAAACTGTCAGGGAAAACTCAAACCACATGGTGTCTAGTTTTTTGTGTAATCAAAAATAATTGTATACATTAAATGTAATTTTTTAGAAAACCACCAACCATGAAATGTAATTTTCTTGCCAATATATCGAGGTGATTGGCACTCATGATTGGTAAATACCTTATATGGGACTGGTATTTAACATTTATCCCTGAATTTTACAAGTTGTTTGGTTGTTCCTGTTATTCCCTGACATATCCTCTCAATTTTTATTGATTATCCTGTTTTAGGGTGTTGGGGAACACCTTTTCACACCCCACAACCGTGTTAACACTGTGAAAGCACCATTCACTTATACTTCTGATCAATATCCTCACAATATCTGGAAGAGCAACAGTTTCCTATTCCTGGTGGTCTCTGTCTCTATGGTAAATGAACGGTCAAAGGCATATAGAGCAAGATATAGCCAGAATTAGGTAAACCCTCTTCTAAAATAAGCAATGTTTCTCTTATTGGGAGCAACTTGCCTTGGGACAAGTACAAAAAAAACCGTTTTTTATTTTGCAAATGGAACTGACAGATTTTATGTGTGAATTGTTCTAATCACTCAAAGCATCCAATTATGGATTTTACAGAAAGGTACCTATTGAAGGGGCACATCACTCTGGCATAAATCATGCCAGGTTGACTCCCATCCTCTTCGTCTGGCACCCAACACAGAAGACCATGCAGAGAGCACTTTTGAAGCACCTTTTGTATGGTTCTTGTGCTGTGCTGCTTAGGAACAGTTGCAGGACATCAAGGACAGGCTGGACAGTATCCTAGAAAGCAGGACAGTTAGGAGGCCAGTAATGGTGGTCTCACAGAGCTCGAGGCAATCCTAAAAGATACATACTGTTTTTACTAACAACAACCACTTTGTTTTAGTACAGTCCACCAGGAAATATCTGCCCTGAGCTACTACTGCCTACTCCCTCACTCCTGTAGACATCCCAAAGTACTTGCTTTTAATCAGCAGAAAAATGTCTGCAGCCCACAAACCCAGTAGGAAAGTGGCCCAGGAAACAACTGCCCCGTTTGCTCACCCTCTTTCAGTTAGGAACATAGTTGGGAGTGAGAGTGGTCATACCACTGTTTGCCAGGAAGCATCTTTCCACTCAGGAGACTTTGGTTGTAATCAGGCAGATTCAGTTATCAATATATTTAAAAAGAACATGAGAAACTCTTGCAGGATCAAGGGATCATTGGCTAGATCAAATAGTTTGCTTGAGTTATAGCACCTACCTGTGCTTGTTCAGTGATACCTGTTATGATGTGACTTGGGCACCTGACTTGAACTAACAATGTCTGTTTAGGTATAATGTGACTAGATCACATTATTAGCACCAACCAATGTGTATATGATTAAGGCCTTTATTGGCTGAAATGTAGTATCTTCAGGTACAATGTAATGACTTCCTGTAATAGTGCTACTTGTAGCCTATTCTATTGATACTACAAATTCTGTTATCTTTTCCTGGAGCTCCAACTCATCTACTTCATGCCTGTGTGCAGCACATCATCTTCATTTTATTGTGACAATCCTTGTATAACACCCATAAATAATAAATCAGCCATCTAAAGCTTTTAATATTATGCCCTTAATCTCACCACCATGAGTTTCCCATTCCATATCTTTTGGGCCCCGAAGCCAGAATGCCTCACCCCAAAACCACTTACATTAATTTGGTATTGTGCTTTCTTAAATCAATTATTGTCACAGCTGGCAAAAGCCTTGCTTAACAGATAAGTTCTCCTGGCAAAGGACACAATTCAGATGCACAATTTAGCACTATGGCTTTCTGCTTTATTTTTTACATTTCAGTTATGGATTGATCAACATGTTAACCTTTATCTGCACGGCACTATTTCATAACTTGGAATTCTAAAAACTGTTGTACATTATGCTCCAGACATGCTTTCAGGCGCTTAAGACATTGCATACTGCAAGGTTACACATGTTTATGAAGTGCCTTGGCTGTATTAAGATGTATAAACTTAAGGGCAGTTGCAAGGTTGGAATGAACCGTCCTGGTAAGGAACTTTGGGTATAATGGAAAGTCAAGCAATCCTTTATTCGAGTAATTTTACATCAAAACAACATGTATGAATCCACTGTTCCTTTAAACAGCACTTGTCAATACAAAAGCAGGCTCCATTTACATATCTCCCTTGTGATCTATTCCCTCTGCCTGGAGACATATCCCTGTCTGGTTTTAAAGCCATATGGGAAACCAGTGACACTCACCATCTGCTTGTGGTTAGGGAAGAAGGACTGATCCACCAAAGGGAACTTGTCAGCACCCAGCCGCTGAAAAATCTTTATGAGCTGTGAAAACTGGAGAGAGACAGAGAGACAATGACAGAGTTAGAATGCTCACCACAAGTGCACCATGATGCCAAAAATCCAAAACAGAAAGATTATTAAAACTCTATCAGGTCATTAGTTCACAAATGTTGCTAGCAGAGATGGGGGAAGACTTTAATGGAATAGTTACAGAATTTTTCATTCTCTATATGTCAACATGCTAGATAAATAGAAAGAACTAGCCAAAAAGATAGACAGACTGTAAACGTGTTGAGCAGGGGGCACTGAATGTCCATCTAGTCTTGTTGAAATTACTTGTTTAGTCCCTCCATTGTACAGCCCTGTGGAAAACAATGCATTATAAAAAAAATAATGATTGACAGACATACATAGACTAAGCAATACATGGTTATTTTCAGCAGCTGATAAACCATAGGAACACATTTGGTACTTGGTACTGGCTCCAGAAGCAGGGAAGACCACAGAGTAACTATTAGTATGTAGGGGCATACCTACATATAAATACTAGACCTCCAATTATATATTTTCCAACCTTATTCTACACATGGCACAACAAGCTCAAGTAATGCCAAATATAAATATGTACAAAAATAGAACCAAATGTACACCACTAATATAAAAATACACCTTTATTAAATCTAAATAAAATAATTATCACATTATAGTCTCTGTTATATATAGTGAATAGTAGCTGTAATGTATTTTCAAGGTTTGAGACCACAGCACAGCCAAAATTCTGTTGCACAATGCTGCTGAAATTTGCAAATCTACACTAAATTTGCTCATCTCCAATTGTACATATAAGTGGCTTGCTATATTATAATTTAAAGCAACAGCACATTGCAGTATTTATGGTGCTAAGAGTGCCCTGAGCCCCCCACTCCCCAAATTGTAAATAATCAAATGGTTTTAGGCTGCTTTCACTCCATCTTCAATGCTGGATTTCCCATTAGGATGCCTACATTTGCCTGTACTGTAGGGGGAACCTATTTACAACAATTATAATTTGACTTTTTGGAGCTTTGATGGGCTGGTGAGGGGAGATCCATCTTGGTCAATGTCCTCTGTACTCCAGTCAGCCTCCTATGATTGATAACAGAGCAGCAGGAACCGTATAGCAATAATACCGGCAATACAAATGGCATTTTTCTCAGTATAAACTGAGATTAGACTGCAATACCGGTGCCAGCCTGTAGGAGTTGCCGTGTGTGGAGAGAGGCAGAGTAGGAAATTACATCATCTCCCTCCCTGCTTCTCTCGACTTGCTGAATCCGCGGGGGAGCAGCTCTGAGAGTCCAGCCAGCAGCTCAAGTAAGTGAGGGATGGAGGAGACAATTGGAAGGATAGGCTGCAAAGAGACATTGTGAGACAAAGGAACAAACACTAGGGGACACGGTGAGAGATCGGGACACTGGTAGACATGAGAACACTGGGAGACTAAGATATGGGGACACAGAGACACTGTGAGACACTGAGAGACACCGGGAGACAATAAGAGAGACATGGAGATACAGAACGAGACACTGTGAGACATGGGGACATTGTAAGACACTGTGAGACATGGGGACACAGAGACACTGGGAGAAGTGGGAACACTGTAAGACATGGGGACACAGAGACACTGGGAGAAGTGGGAACAGTGTGAGACATGGGGACTCTTGGAGACACTGGGTGGCACTGTGAAATATGGGAAAATGTGAGCAGGGCCAGCCAAGACATCGTGCTGCCTGGGTCCAAGGATTAAATGCTGCACGTTTGGTTGAGGTGGGATGATCAGTGCCACTTCAGTGCCCTTTGCCCTGTGCACAGACTTGAAGGCCGCCATAGTATGCTGTCATGTATTCCAACAGTTTTCAATTCTGTGCACAAGTCAACTGGGGAAAAAAGAGAGACAAACTTCAGAGGAGCTCAGTCACAACACTAACCTATGAGACACCTAAGGAGCTGCTAGGAAGTGTGCACTCTGTACGGATCAGTGTACAGTACAGCAGAGATGCTGTGTAGTACACATGCAGCATTGGGTAGGGGTTGGAGGGGGGAAGCTGTGCCACCTTGAAGATGTTTTTTTAATAAAAAAAAAAAATATATATATATATATTGTAGCCTGGCAACTACATTTCAATGTGCTGCCATTTATAGTTTAATGATTTTAAGGGGAACAGCTACTTCTCTGGATGTTATACAGATGAATAAAATTCAAATTCACTTATATTGTGTATCAACCTTTTTTTCATTATATGCTACATTTTCTTTGAAATTTATACTAACGATTTAGCAAATAACATGACAAACCTGTTCTTTAGTACACTTTTCTAAAGAGATGTGATTTTCTACATTTAATTTTAATATCCACACCTCACATGCCCCATCTCCATCCCTAGATCTCTGTCAGGATATAAAAAAGAATGGATTAATACCAGACAGGAATGGCCTTATATTAAAATTATGAGAATGCTGCAACAATATATGTTACAACTCCAATGAGATTTGTCCATGCCTGGATCACATCCAATAAAGGGTGCTGAGTACTCACACGTCTATTTTAAAATAGTTATTTAACCAATAACTGAGTACTCACACTCATTATTCTTGGCAAGAGAAACAATATGGTTTCCAGTAGCTTGACGCAGCTAGAGCGTGACAAGAGAAACAAAATATATTTTTGTTTTGACTGAACATGGATGTGTCATATAATCAACAGTCTGTATCTCTGAGCATTTTCCGTCCTTCGCTCATCCTGACTGTGATTCCCACCCTTGTAGCTCATTTAAAGCTCCAGCTCCCACTTTGCTTCCAAGAGATTAAAGATTGTGTACTACTTTGAATGAATATGGAGATCAGTTTAAAAAAAAATGCTGTTAATTCCAGTCATGAGACACTGACAGTGGTTCCCTTGGCAAGTAGCAATGTTCTACTCTACTCAGTTACACTTGTGTACAAAATGTAAACATAGCAGACACATTGTCAAAGACTATTCTAACACGTATACAACAGTGTCTACAACATTAATGCATTTAATGATTTATGCCACATCTGAGATTATCATTATTGATAATTCCAAATACACACCAAAGTTTATCTCACTGATCACAAGCCTGCATGTTGTAATTAGCTCCTTTGTATAAAGATCACTAGCCAGTGTACAGCTTTTTTCTAGTAATATCGTCTAGCTTTCCGCTAGTGACATCATGCTGTGCACTGCGATCTGCTTCCCTCTAGTGACATCATCCTGTGCACTGTGACCTGCTCCCTTCTAGTGATAATATAAGTTTGTCAACTGACAATTGGCATTACATAGTTGTCTAAGTTGAAAAAAAGATCTATAACTGTTCAAAAGTCCTTTTCATTTAATTCACAAAATCAAACAAAGTGGTTCACCCCAAGTGAATGCACACAAATAATACTTATGTCAGTATTCAGGCAGGACAGAATATTCTAGAAAAAATAAAACCTAGTTATGCACCGAAATGAAAATTCTGGGCCGAAACCGAAAATTCATGATGCCCTTGGCCAAAAAACAAAACCGAAACCAAAAATGACTTTTTTCCCCAAATGATTTTAGAATAGTTTTTTCTATCTTTTTTTTAATATTAGACTTTTTAATGAATTTAATGAATCTAATATGAATAAAAAATTACAATATACAGATATTAAAAAAATACAAAGATAAACAAAAATAAAATAGAAGAAACTAAAAATGGTCGGTACGCAATGTGTAGCATAGGGGTAAACACACTATATATGTGTATAGATGACACACAATCGTCACGTGAACCAGGGACTGTTGATATTAATTTCCAATATAAATTAATATTAATTAACCAGGGACTGACCCCAGGAGCTGGCACTCCTTTCCTATCTGGATATTACAGCTATAGATATGTACTACCCAGCCCTGTGTAGATTGTTTCCTACAGCTATCTGGTCACTCCCTGTAACGTGATCGGGGAAGCCACAGTCATGTCACTGGGGGAGGGAAGCCAAGCTAAAACCATGTGGGGGGAATGGATAAAGAGATAGCTGAGGGGGGATCCAGGGTAACTGGGGTCTGAGCCATTGAATGAGGTCTTGCCATCTGGCCCCCACCCGGAGTGCCCCGGTCACTATGTCCAGGTCACGGCTCACCTTGGCTCCGATGGTGTAAGCGCACAGGCGGCTGGTTGTGATGAGAGACTTGGCCGGGCGTTGTGGTAGTACATTGCGGTTTTTTTATTTTTTTATTTTTTTTTTTATTTTTTTTTATTTAGGTTGTGCATGAAAATAATATTCAGGTGTGCATTACCACAACGGTTGTTGCACACAGATCATTAAACATAGGATTGTAGACATGTGGTTTTATATGCTAGGCACATTTTTTGTTTTATAGAGAAGACATTAAACTATACATTCTAGTCTAGGCATGCATTATCATACATTGTTCATAAGAGTGACATGCTATAAGGCTGGTAGGGAACTTTTGAGGATATGATTTGTGCGTGGGTATGCTGACCTATGGATGTATATATATGCAGATAACAAGTGCTTTTATTGTTCCCTGATGAAATAAAAAGAGAATAAAGTAACGAAGTACAGAGGCCCTACCGGGGACAATCACGTAATTTAGTGTGTTTCATCCTGGTTGGTATTGCTATCTTAATGAGTGTTAGTACATTGTGTTTTTAATGACTAAGATCAGAATACTATCCCATGCTAGACATTTATCAGGTAAAAACAGGTGATGCTTTGGGTGTCAAATCTTCAATGTTGTTCATGGTGAATGATGAGCGTTCCTCATTCAGCTGTATGTTCCCAAAATAGCATATCGGTTTTGCCTTGATAAGTATCCCCCACTATCTGTTATGCTCATGGCTAGAAGGGCACTCCACACAATGTGACTTATGCTCCTTGCATAGGTATTAATGTGTGTTAAGTGTGTTAAATTCAGTGATTTATTTATTTATTTTTAAGTGGAATAAAAATACATGTGTGATCACAGCCTTTTCCATGTCTTATTATACATTCCACAGAAAATGTTGTCATATGAAGAAGGCTCATTACAGATTACAGCAAGCCCAAGTATATACAAAACTTGCCATCCGCTTAGGCAGCACTTCCATTCATCATATAGGATCAATGAAACTGCTGCTAAGGGCAAAACTACACGTTTTAAACCCTTAGGGCTTATATACAGGTCTTACTGAAAAATTGTCCAAAGAATGAAAAAGGTGGAACCCCCTAAAAAGAAACACCAGGAAACCAGTAGAACAAATGTAGAAAGGTCCAGGCACTCCAGTATTCAAAAAAGGCAATTTATTGAACCCACAGTCAAAGCAACGTTTCGACCAATATGGTCTTTATCAGCTTGATAAAGACCATATTGGTCGAAACGTTGGTTTGGCTGTGGATTCAATAAATTGCCTTTTTTGAATTCTGGAGTGCCTGGACCTTTCTACATTCATTTTACTGAAAAACTGTATCCAGATTGGATGAGCCATGTACTGGTATGGAGCTCACCGCAGACTATATAAATCCAGGCATACGCAGCAAGTGCAGGAATTTCAAATGTAGGAGATGTTTTTGTATTACACCTTCCACGCTGCTTAGCAAATTTAAAGGCAGGTAAAGCATTATATGAGTGAAAGTTATTCAATTTTTCAGGATCTACCTTTAAGGCATCCTTGATCTATATAATGTATTAAAATTGAAGACACTTGCAGGACATGAGGCCCTTTCAAATATGAATGGGGGCAACTTTCTAAAAAGTCAAGTATTCAGGTTGGTTTAATGCAAAGTGCCAATATAGTTAAACATGGGCATAAATAAGTAAGTAAGTGCTAAAGCGAGAGAAGCCCCCAACCCTTAAAGTGTTCTTACTTCAGTGTGCAGAACAAAACAGATTTAAAATAAGCGTTTTTCTATAATTTCATAATCCGTTTATTCATACAATGCTTTTGAACATTACTTGAGCAGTTGGAATAATCAGTGGATTATTCCTAATATTATGTGCAATTAAAACATTTATATAGCGTTTCCCCACACCCTAAGCTGCCTTGCCTAAAGCAGGATTTGATACATACATACAGTCCGCTGAATACACACACACACAGTCCGCTGAATACACACACTGCTGAATACACGCGCACACACACAGACTGCAGAATACACACACACAGACTGCTGTGTGTGTGTGGGGGGGATGCTGTGAGTGTGTGTGGGGTGCTGTGTGTGTGGGGTGTGGTGTGTGAGGGTGTGTGTGTGTGTGTGTGAGGGGTGTTGTGTGTGGGTGTCTGAGGGGTGTTGTGTGTGATGGGTGCTGTGTGTGTATGGGGTACTGTGTGTGGGGGGGTAGAGGTGCTGTGTGGGGTAAGGGTTCTGTGCTGTGTGTGTGTTGTGGGGGGAGGGGTGCTGTGTGTGTGTGTGGGAGGGGTGCTGTGTCTGTTGGGGTAGGGTGCTGTGTGGGGGGTGTGGGGTAGGGTGTGTGTGTAGGGGTGCTGTGTGTGGGGGGGGGGTGCTGTGTGTGTGGAGGTGGTAGGGGTGCTGTGTGTGTGGGGGGTAGGGGTGCTGTGTGAGGGGTAGGGTGCTGTGTGTGTGGGGGTAGGGGTGCTGTGTGTGGGGGTAGGGGCTGTGTGTGGGGGGTGGGGGGGTGTGTGGGGGTGTTAGGGGTGCTGTGTGTGTGGGGGTAGGGGTGCTGTGTGTGTGAGGGTGGTAGGGTTGCTGTGTGTGTGTGGGGGTAGGGGTGATGTGTGTGGGGGGTAGGGGTGCTGGGGAGGGGAGGGATGCTGGGTGTGGGGGGGTAGGGGTACTGTGTGTGTGGGGAGGGGTTATGGGGGGGTAAAGGTGTTTTAAAAAAATATATATATATGCTAAATCAGTATTCCCCCTCCCTCCTTCTTACCTTTAATGAAGGAGGGGGGACACACAGCCATCCCTGGTGGTCCGGTGGTGGTAAGTACTGCTTCCGTGTCGGAAGGCAGGGGGAGGGATATGTGAAGCAGCTCCCCTGTCCTCCCGCGCGATGCTGTGTGGAGTGTTGCCATGGCAACGCGCGTCAACGCTCCACACAGATTGATGGCGGGAGGACAGGGGAGCTGCTATACATATCCCTCCCCCTGCCTCCCGACACGGAAGCAGAGTAGGCGCCTGACGTTTTGGGCAGGCAGGTGCCTACTCTGCATTGATGGTGAACCTATGGCCACCAACAGAATAAACCTACACAGTATAGAGCCAAATCAGGTTGTATTCTATTGGTGTCTTATATGGTTTTATATATACAGAAAGCACTATGTATTGTTTTTATATTTTGTAAAATATTCTGTCTGGCCTGTATGCTGACATTTTTATTTGTGTGCATTCTCCTGGGGTGAACCACTTTGTTTGATTTTGTGAATTTTGTATGGTGATAGGGGATACACCTGTGATGTGATACACCCTTTATTAAATTTTTGAGAAGTGCCTACACACCTTATTTATACTCCCTTTTCATTTAATGTTATCCTTAACTCTATCCCATCTGATGTATAAGTGGTTTGTGGGTACCTTATTCCATAATGCACGACTTTACATTTATCTGTATTAAATCTAATATTCCACTTGCCTGCCTAGCCCCCCCAATTTATCTAAACCCCTCTGCAGAGAAGTTTTATATCATGTTCAGGCTGTATTTTCTTACCTAGTTTTGTGTGTTCTGCAAACACAGAGAAGCGGACCAAGGACAGAACACTAAGGCACTCCACTTACCACTTTTGTTCAATTTGAAAATTTTCCGTTTACAACTACTCTCTGCACTCTATCATTAAGCCAGTGTTCTATGCAAGAACACAATATTTCATGTAAAGCAACTGCTTTGTAGCAGTGATAGATGCACGAGCAGACTCGCGGTCTGTAAGAGTAGTAACAATCAGGAGACACACAGGTCCCAAATCACACATTAAGCAACTTTGGTAACTGGGAGTATCAGGTGGATCTAGGGACCTAATGCAGTTGCCGTGTCAAGGCACATTGGTGACATGGTTGCATTCTTAGTGCTATAGTGTTCCTTTAAATCACTTTGCTTAGGCAGCCCTATCCACACCTCCTCTGCCAGTAAATTAGACTGCCTTTCTACATACTTCCTGTAAAAAGAGGTCAAATTTTTAAACTTTCTTTGTTGCAAAGTGTGTCTAATTAAGAATGTCTGATCTGCTCAGTTATTTGCCTGCTTGTTTGTATTCCTAACACAATAGTGTTCCTTTAACCCCTTAAGGACACATGACATGTGTGACATGTCATGATTTCCTTTTATTCCAGAAGTTTGGTCCTTAAGGGGTTAAACTAAAGTTGTTTTGATTTGCTAGTGTTTTTGCCAGAACATGCAATTATTTCACTCAGGGGAGGTGTTCTTAATGTTCATTCTACTCTTGTGCAAACCTTTACATATGTTTTTAACTATTCATTTATTATTATTTTTAGGCGTTGAGTTCTTGATGTATCTGATGGTTTAGTTAAAGTTTAGTAGATAAACGGTAGATCCTCAGATGTTGCACAACAAGAACTTCCATGATGTTCTGCCATTCTAAATGTAAACATAATGGCACTTGAAATTCTACAGAATCAATATACCATTTTCATGTCTCAATTTTTTTTTATTGGTTTTAAATAAGACATAAGAGTAAAGAAACAATGTGCACAATAAACAATTAAGGATCAGAACAATCTGAGCACTCGTCTAATTAAAAAAGGAAATGATGCATACAGAAACAAACAGTAAAATACATATATAAACATATGCCAGTTGGGTTCATAGTCTCACTGTGCACCAGGAGAACTCAGTACTGTGTATACAGCATGCCATGACGCCCAGACTTTTTCATGCCTTGAGATTGTGCCATTCACTGTGTGAGTCATTGCCTCATACATTCTATTAGATTTAGTGGTGTTCAGCACCATGGAGAACATGGGGGTAGGGGATTTCTAGTGATGTGCTATGCAAGGTTTTGCAGTGACCGGTGTGTGTACTGTTAACTTTTTTGCTGGTCCCCGTAGTGTCTCTGATGGCATGTCCAAAACAAACAATTCAGGATTAATATGTATGGTGGTGTTAGTTAGCTTTTGTATCAATGGTTGAACTTAACGTCAGTACTATTTGAGAGCTGAGCAATACCAGAATATTTGAGATTGTTACCCTGTCACTTTACCATGCCAACAAAGGGGGATAATTTGGGATTTTTGAGGCTATCGCTCACAGTATAGCATAAATGGATTGATAAAATTCTAGACCCAATCTGTACACTGTTCCTGTTGGTCTCAGGCAGGCATACTAAAATACTAAAAGTTCACCAGATTATGTCCAACACAAAATATGGCACTTCCCAGATCTCCAAAGCGAATACTCACTACCCATCAATGAATTGTTCACCTATCTGAGAATAGAAACCACCATATCCAAACATTTCAATGCTGATGCTACCCAGTACCAGATGAATTCATTCCACAAGTAAGACTAAACAATTGGTATTAATTTATGCATCCTCAAATACAGTTTCAATACCTGCCAAATTACCAAACATGCTTAAATGGGAACAGGAACTGGGAAAAGAATTCACACCAAAAAGGTGGAGCAAAGCCAAGGATCAACCACTGGGAGATGGAACAAATGTTGCTGATGCAATGGTATTTGGTATCACACAGACTAGCGATCTACCGTTTTACCCAGCTATGAGTGAATGTTTTGGTGACTGTTCTTCTGAAACTGTTTAACAGCAGGCATAAGGCCTTTTATTCAATAAGTATCAAACATGAAATTGTAATTTAGACTTTTGTTTGGCAACACTGTTTGACAATGTGTAGCAGATCCGTAAATATTGAATGTTTATTTACAATGCTTATTTCATTGTCAAATGTTTAATTGAAAAGAAGAGAACTAAACTGAAAGGTAACGCCAGTGAGTGTCTGATATATATTAATGGAAAAGTGTTGCCAGTCTGTCTGCCATCAAGGGGCTACTTCCCGTACATGTCTAAAAATAAAGTTATTACTTCCTTTTATATAACCAAAGTAGAACATAATGCAATCTGATCTAGTGTGATGTTAGTTATAATGACATAGGAAATTTATGGATAATTTCTGAAATTATGCAGGAGCATCTAAAAATATTGATAATGGCTGTCAATCTGATACTGGTCATGTTATCGCCCGCATCTGCCCCTTTTTTACACAAGATGCTACCAAGGAGCTTGTCCATGCTCTAGTAATCTCTCGCATGGACTATTGTTTTTTTTTAAATTCTTTATTTTTCGTGCATTCAATAAACAAGTGAGCTTGTACTGCCACAACAGCTAGTACAAACTGGGCATCAAACATAGTATGACATTTATGTGGACATTTAAGTGAGTAGAGTGCACATTTTATGAATAAGAGTAGGCTGTGTTAGTCTAAGGTCACCGATCTAAAAAAATAAAAATAAATGATGGGGTTGGAGGGGAGATGTCTCTCTCTAGGCACATATAGAATAATACTGTACACCGCATAACAAAGGAGTGGGACACCTAACCGTCTTAACGGCTGTGCATAATCTGGAGAGGGAAGGGGATAATTCTCATCCTACGTGAGATGGGCTAGTCTTAGTTCTGGTAGTCAAATGAAGTAGAGTATTGTTTTCGTGTTTTAGTATACCGATTTTAATTAAGCATTGTAGCCCCATCTTCTATTGTGTTGTTCATGGTAAGGGTAGAGTTGTCGATACGCACATGCGTGATAGGCACGTCTGTGATTTTAAGTGGTCTTAGCTTGTTGGTTGGAAGCATAGGGTTCTTTATGTGTTCCAGACGTTGAGTCTTTTGGTTAAAGGCACTCCAGGAGAGCGAAGCAGGGTTTAACGGTAATTATAATGGGTGCTAAGCAGTGGCTTTTATGGGGTGTACCATCAAGCCCTGCTGGTTATGAGAGGAGAGTGGCCTGCTGCCGTGCCTTCTCTGACCTATTGGTTGCGCTTTTCGTATGGGGGGGTGCTCTCTGCAGCGGTAAAGGGGGCATGGGAGTCTGTCCTGCGTATAGGGTACGATAGTGTTGTAAGAAACACCTAACAATTTTACGAAATGCAAGGAAAACAAAACAAGACAAGAATAAAAGATAAGAATAGAAAAATAAAAAGCTCTGTGACCAGGTGTCATATGGTCTGTTGGAGTCCGGTGGTTCCTTAGCCAGGTGGCTTTATCCTGCATGTCCCTATGTTTCAGCCTGTGTCAGCAGCGGAGTGTGGCACAAATGGGACGCTGTTGGGGATGTCCCAGGAGCAGTTAGGGTTCGTCGGAGGAGGAGTATATTGTTTTAAGTCCTAGTTTACCGAGGAAAGTTTCTGCGTCTTCTGTCGACGTCAGTCGATAAGTTGTTGCTCCCTTTGTAACTACTAGCATGGATGGGCCCCATCGGTACCTGACTCCAGCCGCTCTGAGGGTTGTGGTGACTCACTGCACGGACCGTCTCCAGGTCAAAGTAGCTTTGCAAAGGTCCTGCAGGAAGGTAAGCTGCATGCCCTCGAATTGGTATGGGCTCTGGCCGCCGAGCACCGCCATCACCGCCATTTTGTCCCGGGTAGACTGTAATCGGAGAAGGACATCGCGGGAGGCCTCCGTTGGGGCTCTTGGCGACTTGGAGAGTCTGTGTACGCCCTCCACTAGCACAGTCTTTGTCTGCTTGGGATTAAGTATTGTGACTAAGAGGCGTCGGGTAAGTTGTGGTAATTCATTGTCTTCTGTGGAGTCGGCAATGCCTCTGATTTTTATGTTGGAGCGTCGTCTTCTGTCGTCTAGGCAATCTAGCCGTGCCTGTAGTGCCTGGTGTGAGGACTGGAGGTGTATTAGCTTCTCCTCCGTTGCTTGCTGGCAACCCTCACTCTGCCAGTAACGGCGGTCACTTCCTCCTGCAAAATCGCCATGTCTGAGCGGAATAGGGATCGCAGTTTCTGCAGTATATTCAGGATGTCACCCTTGGTGGCCGGAGATCTCAGGCCGCCCATTGCTAGGCTCGGGATGGGGTCTGTAGCCGCTGGTATGGGATCCGGAGCATCCAGTGTTTCCTCCTCCGAGGATGAGCTTTGGGATCTGGGGTCGCCGCCATTTTAGTTTTAGGTCTCGCCAGGAAAAGATCACCTATTTTCCTGGACCGTCCTCAGGGTGAGTTTTTAACTTTTTTTCTTTTCCCCAAGGTGTCGTTGAGCGTGGTGGCTGAAAAGTAGTCAGGTTGTCTTCGTGTGGATCGATTAATCTGCATTTATTGTTCGGGAGCTCCGCAGGCATGCAACTGCTCTCGGTGCAATCCAGGCCATGCCGTCGCATGGACTATTGTAACTCTCTCCTAATTGGTCTTTCCAATAGCTGTATTGCCCTGCTACAGTCTGTAATGAATGCTGCTGCCAGACTGATTTTCCTCTCCAGTCGGTCCTCTCACACCTCACCCCTCTGTCAGTCCTTACATTGGCTTCTTGTATGCTGTAGGAGTCAATTCAAAGTGCTAGGCCACACCTATGAAGCACTGAATAATCTTAGCCCCTCTTATATCTCCTCACAGATCCAAAGGTATGCCCCTTCTCGGTCTCTCCGCTCTGCCCGTGACCTTCTCCTGTCTGTTGCTCGCACCCTTATGGCCAACTCGCGCTTGAAGGACTTCTTGCGGGCGGCTCCCTTCCTATGAAATAGCCTGCCTACCCCCATCACACTCTCCCCTAGTCTTCAATCTTTTAAGAAGTGCCTTAAAACCCATTTCTTTAGGAAAGCCTATGGCCTCCCAGGCTAACCTCTACCTCACATAACCTGTCTCTTGCTCTCTCCTAAAGGGCAGCACTCTACTCTCTCCTCCAGCTCTGCTTCACTCCCACCTAATTTGACTGCTATTTCCTGTCCTAATGTGTTTTATACCCCACCTCCTATAGAGTGTAAGCTCGTTTGAGCAGGGCCCTCTTCAACCTATCGTTTTTGTAAGTTTTCTTGTAATTGTCTTATTTATAGTTAAATCCCCCTCTTATAATACTGTAAAGCACCACAGAATCTGTTGGCGCTATATAAATGGCGTTATATAATAATAATGTTATACGGTTCAAAAAGTTCTTCTTAAAGAAAGTTGTTATTAGTTATGAAAACTAATGAAAGGTTTAATCACTACACAAAAATAAACCGTTTTCTAATTTAGCTATTTTCACTTGAATGTTGAAACTTAGGGGTCAACCAAGTCTCACTGTATTGCAAATAAACCCACTATATGTGACATTTGAATTAATTCTACAATGGAAATAATCTCAAACACAGCAAGTTCAAGCATGCCTTCTGCTTGAAAAATGCAACTTCATGTTGTGGACTAAAATTCCAAGCGAGGCTGTCTGATAATGTTGAGAGTTGTAGTGCAGCAGGATTGCCAAAGGCAGTTTGTTTCTTGCTACAGCCCTTTAGCTGTATTTGAATTACAATTTCCATAAAGCCCCTCCGGTGTGGCTGGCGTTGGAAAACGCATGTCTGTCCACTGGCACGATTCCAATGTTCCTCTGGGCAAGCTCAATACCAGTACAATCAAAAAACCTGCTCCCAACCACGGAGATAATGCTCCGGACTTGGAGACAAACTATCCCTCTATTCCTCAAGGAGAATGATCTACTCCTTGAGGCACCACTTCAAGCCTTGGCTACCCGCACGACGAACCTACAGCTAGAAAACTGGCTCAGCCGGGGGATCTCAGGGGTACGTTCCTTGTTAACCCAAGAGGGCATCAAACCATTCCCCGAAATTGTTAGGGAATTTAATATCCCATCCAGGGAACTATTCACCTATTTGAGGCTAAAGAATATTATTCAGGAAAGCGGGATTATCCTGAAAGAATATAACCTCATACCACCATTTGTCCATAAATGTAAGGGGAAGCTTCCCAAGGTTAAAGCACTATCCCTCTGCTACAATACACTTCTTACCCAGTATACGGCAACAAAACCTTCCTACATGACAAATTGGGAAATGGACCTGGGAATGCAATTCCCAGTAGCCACGTGGCATCGGGCTCAGAAGCTAACAAAGCAGGCCTCACATAGCCTCAACCAGTGGGAAACCTACTGTAAACTAACCATGCGCTGGTACCTGGTCCCCAAAAAATTGGCACACATATACCCAGGTGCGAACAAACTCTGCTGGAGATGCCAAAATCAAGAGGGATCCCTATACCATATATTTTGGACATGTACACAGATCACATCATTATGGAAGGCTATTCACACACTTTTTTGCACGGATCTAGGGATCAAGGTTCCACTGACACCAGAAAGCTTTTTATTACACATTTTCCCAGATAATCTCCACGAAGAGGAAAGCTATTTAACGATCCACTGCCTAATGGCAACTAAAACTGCGATTGCCCAAAAGTGGAAATCCACACAGGTTCCCACGCTACCAGAGATTCTGGGCAGACTAGACTCGATATATAATTACGAACACATGGCAAGCCGTATCACTGAGAGGCAGCGTAGACATGGAACAAGGTGGCGCAGATGGGTGGACTATAGATATGGAAAGACATAACAGAGACTACGACATATTTGATACTCTACCAAGCTCCTCAGTAAAGAGGACTTCCCAAGCTAACACCTTGTAACATCCTTTAACTGACCATTTTCCTTTTTGCCCTTCTCTTCAACACCAACACAATATAAAAAATACTCTATGCCATAGCACAGCCTCGCTAACCCCCCACCAATCTCCCCCCCCCGCCCCGGCGGTCCTAACAGTTAGGGACGGACAGAAGCAAATTAGTGCCTTAGAATGTTTCAGGCAAACTTGAACAGAACTGCCATTGTATATATGTATTATAGTCAGAAGCTGGTGAATTGTGCCTAATGACTAATATCCAACTCTATGCACAGATGTTATTATTAATACTTTTTGTATGACTATGATACATTGTTTATGCATTGTCGCCCTCCCTCCCCCCCCCCTCTTTCTCTCCGTGTACCCCCTCCCACGTTATCCCCCTTTTGTATACTATGCATATCCAGTGAAAAACCGAAAATAAAATACATTTAAAAAAAAACAATTTCCATAAAGCTATCTGGGATGTCTAATTCTTCAACAGCTGCAGAGGTTGAGTGTATATGAAGTAGAACGATAGAAGAGAATATTCAGTGTTGATGGCTTTCTGATCCCCTCACTCCCTCTTTTTACTTTGTACCTTCTTTTCTATTGGGAAAACCAACCTTGACTACAGATGTCTAGATAGATACTGCAAGTTAAAGAAATAAAAATATAAAACTCTGCTTCAGAAAAATAGATCGACAACAGGAAACAACTATTTATGTGTCCATTTAAAGTGTGCTAGAGGGCATTGTCCCTACAGGAAAACAGCTTAAGTGAGACATTTCTGGACTCTAATTTCTACATGAAAAACCTGACGTCATGTGAATATGCACAGTACACCTCTATGATATCTTCAAAGGATGTATTACAGGGTTGGTCCTACATTTAGACAAATTATGAATTTTCTTAGGGTGATGGGGTCAAGAGGGTTTTGTGCAAACCCGTGGGAAATGTGAAGCAATCAGAAAATCTTTCATATTATCTGATTGCTGTAAAAGTTTATAGTAAGCAGTTAATCCCCGTCCACACTGGAACAGACCTCTAAGGATCTGCTATTGATGTCACTTTGCTCAATCAACTGTTTAGGACTGCAAATGGTAGTGGACTGTGCTACAGTGATCAGAGACCATCACTAAGGTTGCTGCTCCATTCTGTCTGCAGGAAATCAGTTCCACTAGAAGGCTAGACTAAGTAGACATAGTAATATTTTCCCACACATTATCTAACAGGGTTATTCATTAACGTGAGAATTCAAGTCAAATTAAAAGTGAATTTCAAATTTAAGGTAAAAAAGCTAAACTAGAACAATTCTCTACGTCAGCTATGCTTTCAGTAAAGCTAAATGTAACATTCTCAGTTTAGCAAGTAACCCTATATGTTTTCATTCCTCCAACCTAAGACCATGACCTCCTGCTATAACAATTTTATTATACTCTGCAATCTATATCTACCATGTTTCATCTTGCCAAGGTGAATGTGCTAAAGTGGTTTTTGGTTGTTTTTGAACATGTACCAATATAGCAGTCTTTTTATGACATACCTATACTGTTTTTGACACTGTAGCGTAAAAGTGTCACCAATAGAAAATAAAATTATATGGTTGTATCTATTTATCTCCTGCCTCTTCCTAGTTCACCAAGTATTCTATACCCCACTTTTGAGTTCATTGCAGACACTCCGGGCAACAATACAACTTTAATACATTTGATAGGTTTTGGCCTCATTAATATGCTGTATATTTTTGCATGCTCAAATCGTTATATTTTTGCATTATAAAAAATGTTTTTGCAGAATGCTGCACTATAAGGCTGCCTCCTTAACCACGCCTCCTCATGCCAGAAAGACGTCCTTATCAAAGGTATGCATACAGTCTCATCCCCAAACGCACTGAGTGAGCTGCTTTTAAAGGGATGCTATAGTCACCAGAACAACTACAGTTTAATGTTGTGGTTTTGGTATCTAAAGCCTATTCCCGTGGGCTTTTGTTTGAAACACTGCTTTTTCAGAGAAACTCTCCCAGCTACCTACTGTGCCCCCTGCTCCCCCACCTAGCTTAACTGTCCCCCTGCACCCCCAGATACCCACTGTACTCTGCTCTCCACCTAGCCTAACTGTGCCCCTGCTCCCCACCTAGCCTGACTGTGCCTCTGCTCCCACAGCTACCCACTGTGCCCCCTGTTCCCCCACCTAGCCTAACTGTGTCCCTGCTCCCCCAGCTACCGACTGTGCCCCTGCTCCCCTAGCTACCCACTGTGCCCTGCTCCCCCAGCTACCCACTGTGCCCCTGCACCCCAACCTACCAATACACTGCCCCTGCTCCCCCAGCTACCACCACTGTGCCACCTGGTCTCCCACCTACCACCACTGTGCTCCATGCAGCCCTACCTACCTTCTGTGTCCCCTGCTCCCCACCTACCACCACTGTGCCCCCTGCTTCCCTAGCTACCCACTATGCCCCTGCTCCCCCACCTAGCCTAACTGTTCCCCTGCTCCCCCAGCTACCCACTGTGTCCCCTGCTCCCTCAACTAGCCTAACTGTGATCCTGCTCCCCCAGCCACCCACTATGCCGCTGCTCCCCCAGCTGCCTACTGTGCCCCCTGCTCCCCCAGCTACCCACTGTGCCCCTGCTCCCCACCTAGCACCACACTGCATCTACTCCCCCAGCTACCCACTGAGCCACTGCCGTGGCAGGAATATCCCTTCCACTAGCATTAATGCCCACCGTTCCTACTATTTAACTTTGAGTTCATTTTACTGACCAGTATCATTAATATTTGTTAAAACTTACCACCCAAGGCTTGCTACAGAAATTGTAGATGGAGTAAAGGGAGTTGGTGCTGGGAACGCCTCCATACTGCAACCCCATGATTAGGCTCCGGAAATCCTCCCCGAGGGTCATACTGTATGCATGCTGCCGGATCAGGACAAAGTCAGGCTTGAATGATCTGAATAAAGAGAATATATATATATCTTTACTGTCAATAGACTAACTACCAAAGAGTAATGTGTGGTGAGTTGACAGAGAAATAGCATCACTTATAGGCCAAGATAAGTTTGAATTTATTTTTTGAATATTTTTTTCACATTCAGCTATTTTGCTGAATTTAGTCAATAATTAATACAATTCCTTTTGGGTTTACTGTATTGACTATTAATGAGTGGTAACCCAGCTGAGCTGCATGGATCCCTGCTCTTTTCAACTCTATCTCATTGCTGCAGTCAGATTCATTTGAAAATAACTCGGTCACACTGTAACCAAACTTCAGTACGGAATAATTTCACTGGTACAAGAAAAATATATACGGTAAATGCAGAAGCGTGAAAAATACAGCAATGGTAAGAGAGGAAAAACCTTTTTACCAGGGTTGCAATGGTTGTGGGATACTCAGGGCATAACCCAAAATAAACATAGAAAGAAGGGCTGGAAGGGGTAAGTTAAATAAACAAACCCAGTAACAGACCTAGTACCCTTGGAAAAGCTGCACTATCATTGTCTTAATTAATTTAGAGCAGAAAAGGAAACTATAATTTTATTAATCCATAATGAGGCAAAAAACGAAATCACATAATATAAGTAAACTAGTGTTGAAAAAAGCTAATAAAATAAAAATAGGAAAATATTAAGTAGTTAAAATAGGACCAACCGTTGTGTCAATTAGATCCAAATAGGTTCAATACAGACTAAGACTGCTATTTTATAGAATGTTGCAAATCATTACAACAAAGTTGATTGTCTGTGTCTGATATTGAATTGGATCTTAATCTTTGGAGTATATTGGTTAATGCTTGATTGTGGGAAAAATAGAGAGTATCATGCTGAGTAAAGTCATAAGTGACTTAAGGTAGAGATGTAGTTGTCCATATGAAGATCAAAACGTATATATACCCTTTGGGGATGATAAGTAGGTACATAAAGAAAGAGGGATATTTAGGGAAGTGTGTAGCAGCAAACCCCAGATTGAATGTTGAATCAACCGGGAAGCCAGCAGTAAAAAATTCAGAGTTGCTAAGCTCTTCCCCAATTATAATATCCCAATTAGTAATAGTACTGTCAAATGGTATCTATACGTAGCAATGTGTAGTAAGCTAGAGGAAGTAACTCACTCAGCGGTATGTGCCGCTGTAAATATTTTTATACATAAGTAGTTAACAGAAATAAGGGTATGTAAAAGAATTGCCAAATTCGTCAGGAGCCCAAAGCAACAGCCGTAGTATCAGGATTCCAACTAGGCAACTAGAACAACCAAAGAAGAACTCCCTACCCCCAATTAAAGAGCTGGTGCTCAATATTACAGCAGATATTTAAATGAGTAAATAAAGCTTAAGTCTAATGCTAGCTAATAGAGGTCAGTAAGCCTGAGATCAATCATTGCTTTTATAGTGCTAGAGGAAATTTGGGGTATAGGATTTCCCTATACTGACCGCAAAAGAAATAACCAAGCTAGCTGTACTGATATTGGAGAGATACCCAGTGAAAATAATAATCCCCAGTAGATCCCCCATGGGAGGGAGGAAAAAGAAAATAAATAACAACGGTGGTCCTAATAGAAAACGTCTGCAGTGACAGGAAACTAGCCCAACACGCGTTTCGGCGATACCATACGTCTTTGACAAGAGCTAACTGTGGACTGCACGCGCCACTTTTTAAACCTAGTAGATCATGCCCCTTGGAGCCATGGCGTCAGAAGACGCTCGTGAGTGATTTCAATAGGGGGGCATCTTACATTCTGGTAAGTGGCGTGTGTTCGGTTTGGCAAGGAGAAAGAAAATTAACTCCCAAAATGCTGAGGTTGTAGAAGGGAACAAACCTTCCAATACCCTCAATGGGGATTATTGAATAAGTATATTAGTTAGTTCCAAAGAGGTTATCCACAACCCCCTCGACCCCTCCATGTGTGTCACTCCCAAACCCCCCAGCCCCTTCATGTGTTACCCATAAACTCCCCAGCCCCTACATGTGTATCACCAAAACCCCCCTAGCCTCTCTACGTGTGTCACCTCCAAATCCACCTATCCAGCCCAGTGTGTCACCCCCAACTGGGGGCCTGACCACTAAAATGGCAGATTAAATGTAATGTAGAGAAATGCAAAGTTATTCACTTCGGGGTCAAGAATGCACAAGCAACTTACACCCTAAATGGTAGTGAATTAGGGATAACAACAGAAAAGCAGCCCTGGAAAAAAATTCTATACCAGCCCCATAATGCATCGCGACAGCACAGTGTGCAACTATGGAAGCGGGAGAAAAAACTACTTAAAACTGAAGACTATCACTCAAACATGAAAGAAAGCACTCATGGGGCTTCAAAATAAAGCAGAGCAGATTTATTGTAAGCAAACGTGCATTTGCATATAATCAATGTTTCAGTCCAACTACCTTTATATATAGAGAAATGTTTGGACATTTGGACTGAAATTGTAAATGTATGCTAATGCACAGCAGTAAAAAAAATTATCTTGTTTTTTTGTTTTAAGTAATAAGAGTGTACTCTTCACTTTGGCTGACAACTGGATGATTTCAGTCAACACCAATTAAATTTGCATAGGAAAGCATTGGGGGGCTATTGCGCATGTTTGGCAATATGCTGCGCTTCACCGCACCAATTGGCATCTTCTCATAGAGATGCATTGCATCAAAGCATCTCTATGGGGAGCGTCCATGCAGTACGTGGAGATGCTCAACATAGGTGCTGCACACTGTGCAGCACTGGACTAGGGAGCATCTCTATGAGTGACTGTCACATTGCCTAGGTAGCAATGTAAACACTGGCTTTTCTCTGAAAAGGTAGCATTTACAGTGCTCAGCCTACAGGGACAGGCTATAGACACCGGAACCACTACAATCAACTGTAGTAGTTCTGGTGACTATAGTGTCCCTTTAATATCTTTCTCTCACCAGTCGACTTTGAGTTACAGGAGACACAAGTGAAGTTTGCTTGTCTTTCTCCACCAAACCTCTTTCACGTGTCTCTCAGCCCCAGCCCCTTTGTCTCTTTCCCCGGACCCAGCACCTCTATGTGTATCTTTCCCCACAGCTCCTCTGTGTGTCTCATTCTCTCCTTCCCCACTCCCTCTGTGTGTCTCCTGTTCCCCTTCCTCAGCTCCTCTGTGTGTGTCTCCTGTTCCCCTTTCCAAACCCGTCTGTCTCTTTCTCCCCAACCCCTCCATGTGTCTCATTACCCCACAGCCCTCCATGTGTCTCAGTAGCCCCCGCATTTGTCCCATTAGCCCCCGAGCCCTTCAAGTGTCCTATTAGCCCTCTCTCCCAGTCCTCCATGTATCCCTAAAGCTCTCCAAGCCCTCCATGTGTCGAGGGTGACCAGATTTAAAAAAAAAAAAATGGGACAATTATTAGCGATACAATAATCGCTAAAAGAAAAACAAAATAGAGAAATGCATACACACTAGAAATCTTTAACCTCTTCTTGGCCAGAAGTGGCTGTTACAGCTCATCCCCTTTCTGGTACTCAAATTAGTCTTTTCATTTACATTTTGTAGGAGCATGATCATCAAAGCACACACATACCCTAGTAACAGCATAATAGCCCACTGGGCAAACCAATGCACTGGGGCCCTGACTACGCAATCACTCAAAGAAATAAAAATATAAATTATCAATAAAATGAGGCTTATATTTATTGGTACCTCCAACAAATACAATACTTACACACACAGACAGACTGCTGAATACACACACACATACACTGCTGAATACACACAAACCGCAAAAAACACACACAGACTGCTGAATACACATATATAGAGACTGCTGTATATATACACAGGCTGCTGAATACACACACATACAGACTGCTCAACACACACACACAGGCTGCTGAATACACACATACAGACTGCTGAACACGCACACAGACTGCTAAATACGCACACAGACTGCTGAATACGCACACAGACTGCTGAATACACACACACACAGAGTGCAGTGAGGGATGCAGTGTGTGTGTGTGGGGTGCTGTGTGTGGCTGGCGGTTCAGTGTGTGTGGCTGGGGGTGCAGTGTACGTGTGGAGAGGTTCTGTGTGTGTGAAGGGGTTCTGTGTGTGTGGAGGGGTTCTGTGTGTGTGGAGGGGTTCTGTGTGTGTGCAGGGGTTCTGTGTGTGTGTGTGCAGGGGTTGTGTGTGTGTGTGGAGGGGTTCTGTGTGTGTGGCGGGGTTCTGTGTGTGTGGCGGGGTTCTGTGTGTGTGGAGGGGTTCTCTGTGTGTGGAGGGATTCTGTGTGTGTGCAGGGGTTCTGTGTGTGTGTGTGCAGGGGTTGTGTGTGTGTGTGGAGGGGTTCTGTGTGTGTGGCGGGGTTCTGTGTGTGTGGCGGGGTTCTGTGTGTGTGGAGGTTTGTGTTTTGTGTGGAGGGGTTCTGTGTGTGTGTGTGTGCAGGGGTTCTGTGTGTGTGTGTGTGGAGGGTTCTGTGTGTGGGCGTTCTGTGTGTGTGAGGGTTTATGTGTGAAGGGTTCTGTGTGTGGGGTAGGGGTTCTGTGTGTGTGTGTGTGGAGGGATTCTGTGTTTGTGTGGAGGGGTTCTGTGTGTGTGTGTGGAGGGGTTCTGTGTGTGTGGCAGGGTTCTGTGTGTGTGGAGGGGTTCTGTGTGTGTGTAGGGATTCTGTGTTTGTGTGCAGGGGTTCTGTGTGTGTGTAGAGGGGTTCTGTGTGGTGGGGGTTCTGTGTGTGAGGGGTTCTGTGTGTGTGAGGGTTCTGTGTGTGTGGGGTTCTGTGTGTGTGGAGGGTTCTGTGTGTGAAGGGGTTTGTGTGTGTGGAGGGTTCTGTGTGTGAAGGTTCTGTGTGTGTGTGGAGGGGTTCTGTGTGTGTGAAGGGGTGCAGAGTGTGGGGGGGGTGTAGTGTGTGTATTGGGGGGGGGAGTTATATATTTAAAAAAAAAAATAAAGCTTTATATTTCCCTCACTCCCCCCTTACCTTTGGTCAGGGCCCAGGGGAGAGGTGGGACGACTACTCTTCAATGTTCAATCCCTGGTGGTCCAGTGGTGGCGCGTGCAGTTAAGCCTGCAGCTCCTCTGGCCGCAGGCTGACTTCTCTCTCCTCCCGTAAGACCAGCAGGCAGGTCGGAGTGTTGCCGTGGTAACGTACAGCAACGCTCCAACCTGCCTGCGGGAGGAGCGTTCTCGCTTCCTGCTTCCTGTCAGACCGGGTAGGGGAACAGAAGCTCCCCTACCGCGGTCTGCCTCCTTTGCCACGCTACATTCTGTGACCGGCAGGAGGGGAGCGCATCCCCTCCTTCCGGCCACCCTGTAATTGCGGCCCGGGCTGGTGCACGCTAGGCGGCCCCATGGATAAATAGGGGCATAAATTCTCGGGATGAAAATATAATTTTGCCTCTTTATAAATTTCTGGTAAAATATGCTGGTTAAATATGCTGTGCAATTTTGGGCACCTGCTCTAAAGAAGGATATCATGGCACTAGAAAAAGTGCAGAGACAAGTTACAAAATTGATAAAAGGAATGGAGCATCTTAGTTACGAAGAAAGGTTAAAAAATGTAAATCTCTTTAGTTTGGAAAAAAGCACCTCAGAGGGATATGATAACAATATACAAATATATTCAGGGCCAATTCAAACCACTATCTGGAAATCTATTCCCAAACAGGGCTATACATAGGACACAAGGTCATGCATTTAGGCTGGAAGAAAGGAGATTTAGTCTAAGGTAAAGAAAGGTTTTTTGTTTTTTACAGTAAGAACTATAAGGATGTGGAATTCTCTGTCTGAAGAGGTGGTTTTATCAGAGTCCATACAGATGTTTAAACAGAAATTGGATAAATACTTGCAAAAACATAACATACAGGGATATAGTTTCTAATTAGTGGAGTAATAAGTGCTTGATACAAGATTTCTGACTGCCATTTTGGGGTCAAGAAGGATTTTTTTCTAGTTTGTTGCAAAACTGGAAGCGCTACAGACTGGGTTTTTGCCGTCTTTTGGATCAACAGCAAAATCATATGTGAGGAAGGCTGAACTTGATGGACGTAAGTCTCTTTTCAGCTATGTAACTATATGTAGCCCCTCAGCCCCTCGATGTCCCCCTCTCTAGCCTCTACATGTGTCACCCACAAACACCCAACCCCTACACGTGTCACCCAAAAACCTCCAACCCCTACATGTGTGTCACCCAAACCCCAGCCCCTCCATGTGTGTTACCACCAAACCCCCCTCCCTAGCCTCTCCATGGATGTTATTATTATTATTATTATTTATTATTATTTTATTATTTATATAGCACCATCAGATTTCGTAGCACTGTACAATGGGTGGACTAACAGACATGTAATTGTCTCCCCTCCTGCTGACAACCGCATTAGGTGTCAGTGTCTGTGAAGGGGTGCAGAGTGTGGGGCGGGAGAGCAGCGGGGGCAGAGCCTGACCCAGTGACGAGGGACATCAGTGCTGGATTCAGGTAAGTGGCTGAAGGGGTTTTAACCCCTTCAACCCCGAGGGAGGGGGGCCCTAAAGGGAGGGAGGCACTGCAGGGACCTATAGTGCCAGGAAAACGAGTTTGTTTTCCTGGCACTATAGGATCCCTTTAAGTGCACCCACACTTGTTACATATCATTTTGTTCAGGAGAAACAGGGCTTTCATTTCACATCAAATATTTACACATGAATCATAATTTAATATGAATAACATCGGAAAAAAAAGTGTTCTGCATGGCGTTTTAACTGTCATAATACTGTTAGCTTTTACTGCAGTAAAACACACATATTTGTATGCTGTGATGTCCCAGAAGTACAACAATGCCCCCCAGGTATAGGTTTCAAGGTGTTTTGGAAAGTTACAGGGTCATATAAAGAGCTTTTGCTCACTTCTGTTTTTACACATGGAAATTTTACATTGGTTTGCAGGGCCCATGTTGCCTTCGAGACCATATGGCAACTCGGGAATGAACATTACCCATATAATGGCATAGCATTTGCAAAAGTGGAAAAGCCAAGGTATTGAAAATAAGTCATGTCCAGCCTTTTTTGGTAGCCACCTAGTCAACAAACCCTGACCAAACTTAGTGTTCATTTTTTCTTTTTCTTTTTGCATTTTTCACCAACAAACTCCACTTTCACTGATGATATCATTGTAATTATACATTTTACTGTTCTAATACAGGGTTTAAAACGTTGCAGAGTTAAATTTAGGGCTTGCAAATTAAATGATGCCTGTGTTGTCAGGTACCCCTTCCAAATGTATTATCCATGTTTCAGTTAGACTGAGCTAAGTTTCTTCAGGACGCTAGTAATAGGAACATACACATAATTTTCTATAATCACAAGGTGATTTCCCCACCATTAAAAGGTGACTATAGTTACCAGAACCCAGTGGCATACACACAATCCACGGGGCCCCGGCGTGAAACTGATCCGTGTTTCCCCCCCTTCCCTGTCCCCTCCCCCCAAAACATACATACAAACACAGACATACACACAGACACACATACAGATACATACAAACACACACACACACATACATACAGACAGATACATAGAGACAGACAGACACACACACACATACACACATACAAACACACATACACACATACATACATACAGACAGACACACATACACACACACCCCCAACAGACATACACACAGACACATTCATACAGGCACACGCACACATACAGACACACACACACAGACATACACACACATACAGAGACACACACACACAGACATACACACATACAGAGACACACACACAGACATACACACACACACACACACACAGACACATACATACAGAGACACATACACACACACACATACAGACACATGCACACAGACACACACACACACACACATACATACAGAGACACACACACATACACACACACATATACAAAATGTTTCCTGTTTCCTACTTTTTGCAGGAGGGTGACTTTCCCTGAGGTCCAGTGGGGGCTCAGCCTGATGGGAGTCAGAGTTCCCACTCTGACTCCCTCCTTCCTCCCGCGCGGGCAGTCACTTCCTCCTAGCTCTGTCTGATGTCATCACAGGGGGCCCGGTCGCGCCGTTAAAGAGCCCAGCGCTGACTGGGCCCCCTGGAAATCCATCTTCATTGGGTGGCCCTAACAGCATGGGCCACCCGATGGACCCCTTGAACGGCTGCCCCGGCGGGTTGTCGTGTGGGCCAGGGCTGCAAAACATGGCGGCTCATACCCGGTCGCAGGGGTCCGCAGGGCAGCTGCGACTGCGGTATGTACGCCACTGCCAGAACCACTAGAGCTTAAAGGGACACCATAGTCACCAGAACAATCACAGCTTATTGTATTTGTTCTGGTGAGTAGAATCATTCCCTTCAGGCTTTTTTCAGAGAAAATTTAGTGTTTACAGCCTAGTGATAACTCCACTGGCCATTCCTCACACGGCTGCTAGATGTGTTTCCTGTGTGTCATATAGTGTCTCCACCCTCTGCATGGAGACACTGAACTTTTCTCATAGAGATGCATTGATTCAGTGCATCTCTATAAGGGAGGAGATGCTGATTGGCCCGGGCTTTGTTTGATTTGTGCTGGCTGTGCCCCTGATCTGCCTACTTGACAGTCTCAGCCAAATCCTATGGAAAAGCATTGTGATTGGCTCAGATAATCACGTCTGATGATGTCAGCCAAGAAGGCCGATCAGGAGCAGAGGCAGCAGCTGCAGAATAGAATTGAATAGAAGTAAGATTTTACTATATTTGGGGGGGGTGGGGGGGGCAGGGAGGCTAGATGGTGGTTTTAAAACACTATAGTGTCAAGAATACATTTGTGTTCCTGACCCTATAGTGTACCTCTAATGTAGTGGTTCTGGTGTCCATAGCCTGTCCATGCAGGCTTTTCAGTGTAAAAACTGTGTTTATATTGGCGCCTAGTAGCACCTCTAGCA